GACCCCGTCCGCAGGCTCCCCGCCGGCCGAGGCCCCCGAAGCAGGCGCCCCCTCTGGCGGCGGGGGCCGCGGCGCGGGGAAGGAGGAGGAGAAGGAGGAGGAGAGCGAGGAGGAGCGAGGAGGAGCGAGGAGGAGCGAGGAGGAGGAGGAGGAGGAGGAGGAGGAGGAGGAGGAGGAGGGAGGAGGAGGAGGAGGAGAAGGAGCGAGGAGGAGGAGGAGAAGGAGCGAGGAGGAGGAGGAGGAGGAGGAGGAGGAGGAGGAGGAGAAAGAGCGAGGAGGAGGAGCGAGGAAAGGGGCGGGGCACCGGCAGGCGCGCCCGCGGCGAGCGCGCGGCTCGCGGCCGAGCCGCGAGGGCCTCCGCCTCCCACCCTGCCGTGCTGCTCCTCGCGCCGTGTGCCGTCCTTCCGGGCACCTCCTTCTCCCCGAGCTCGTCCTCCCCTCCTCCTCCTCCTCCTCCTCCTCCTCCTCCTCCTCCTCCTCCTCCTCCTCCTCCACGTCCTCCTCCTCCTCCTCCTAGGCTGGCACTTCGGCGGGCGACCCGCGCGGCCACATGTGGAGTCCGTTTTGGTCTAGCTTTGGGGCCTCTGATGTTTTGGCCTCGACGGCTCACCACACAAGTGACCACACCGACCATTAGTGGGCGAATGGCAGGAGACGCTGGAAAGAAGCACCTGCAGGCACAGCCGGCAGATGTAAAACATCGGCAACGCCAGCCAACCCGCTCGACACTGTGCAATCGAGCGGGCGGCGAACGGCAGCCAGTGCGCTGCCGACGCAGAGCGGTGCTGTGGCCACGTGCGGCATTGCATCCTGGGCCGCAGCAGCACCGAGAAGGTAAAGCCACGGTCGGGGCGGACCTGCGTCCACCCCCGTGCTCGGGGTTCCCTGAGATCCCTCCACCTCGACGGTACCCCAAGGCTCGGGTACAAGGCTGGCTGCGTAACCAGCACCGCCAAGAGGAGGGAGAAAGAATTGTGCGGCGCGCCTTCCCCCTGAGGCGGGGTGCCTGACACGCGTGCAGGGCATACACGGATGCGCACACACACACACACACACACACACACACACACACCGCACACACTCGACAGGCTGGCGGTACCCCAAGGCTCGGGTACAGGGACAGGCTGCGTAACCTGCACCGCCAGCCGGAACGAGGCTTGGATGCTGCCTCGCACGAGTCAGTTCCTGACTCTTTCGAGGCCCCGCCAGTGGCAGACAGCGCTGGGGTGGATGAGAGGGGGGAGCTGTCGTCGTCGGATTGGTCGTCGTCCAGGGCGGGGGTGAAGCACTTCGACGATTGGGAAGGCCTGGCCGCCAGCGCCTTCTACCTGCGCGGCCACGGTCTCCTGAGTTGTGATGTGGACGACCCTCGCAGGCGAGGAGTTACCGCTGCGGCGGATACTGCACGGATTTCCGGCCGAACGCAGTGTTGCTCGATGTTTGCAAGGGCAGACCTGCTTCGGCCCAAATTGCTTCGCAGATCAAGCGGATCCGCGACGGCAAGCACCCGCACGGAAGGGCGACTACGAAAGAGTTGCGCCTCGGCAATCCGCGGGGGCTTGGGCAGCCAGAGCGTGATTTGCTGGCTGTCCGGGGGGGGGGCGACAGCTCTGAGGGCTACGTCGGCACCCTCTGTTGGCGCTGCTCTTGCCCGAGGGTATGCGTCGAAGTCAGACGTCCTTCGAGCTTTCGGCCTGCTGGAGAGCGAGCTTCCACAGGTGAGAGCCTTGGGGGAAGCTGAGCGTCGAGCCCCCGATGAGCGGGAGGACGACGAGGCCTCCGATTCAGAGGGCGTCTTATTTTAAATTGCAACCTGGGTTTAGCCCGCTCCACAACAACAACAACCTCCTCCTCCTCCTCCTCCTCCACTTTTCCGCTGCCTCCCCGCCCGCTCCCCCCCACGTCCCCCGCCGGCACCTCCCGCCCCGCGCCTCCCTCGAGCATTCTCTCGTCCTCCTGCGCCTGCGCCTGTCTCTGCTCCCACTGCGCCTGCTGTCCATCTCGCCCTCCTCCTTCCCTCGCTCGTCCAGGTCCTCCGCCAGCCCCTCCTCATCGTACGCCCCCCAACCCTCCGCACCCTCCTCTTCGTCATCGCACTTCCCCTCCCCCTCCTCCTCCCACCTTTCCTCCCGTCCTCCTCCTCCTCCTCCTCCTCATTCTCCTCCTCCTCCTGCTCCTCCTCCTCCTCCTCCTCCTCCTCCTCCTCCCCCTCTTCTGCGTGCGATGTGATTTTCTACGCCGTCCCGACGGGAGTCCCCCCCCCCTACACCCCCCCTCCAGTCGAGGGGGCGGGCGCTCGAGCCCCCCTCTCTCGCCGAGGGCAATCGACGTCGACGACGACGAAGACGACGACGAAGAGAACGACGACGTCGCGGGCGAGTCGGTCGGTCGGGCGGCACACGTCGTCGTCGCTCGCCGTCACCATCGCAATCGCCGTCGCCATCGTCTTCCTCTGTGTCGCCTTCGGAGGCGGGTCGGTCGGTCGGGGGGGACAGATCGTCGTCGCTCGCAGTCTCCATCGCAATCGCCGTCGCCGTCGTCGTCCTCCTTGCCGCCATCGGAGACGGGTCGGTCGGTCGGGGGGGACACGTCGTCGTCGTTGGCCGCAGCCATCGCAGTGGCCGTCGCAATCGTCGGCGAGGAGGTCCGTCGGTCGGCAGGCGGACGGGACGCGTCGTTGCCGCCGTTATGGGGGAATCCGTCGGGCGTGCGGGCGGGACACGTCGTCGTCGTCGTCGTCGCTGTGGTCCTCGTCGTGGTCGTCCTGTCTGTCGTCGTCGTTTGCTGGCGCCAGGGTGGATGGGGGGGGTCGAACGCCCCTCCAACCCCGACTTTCGCTTCCGAGGGAAAGGGCAGGGGTGGGGTTACGACCCCCCCCTCCGCAACTTCTGAGGGGGCGGGGGGTTCGTGACCCCCCGACTTCCTCACATCGTACAGCTGGACCTAGAACAAAATAACATCCTTGGCGGCGCGCGCACGGGGGAGCAAGGAGGCGGGTGGACGGCTTCTTGAAAGGAGGCTGCTCCTTGGAGGGCGCTGGCCCTACATCTACAGACAAGGCCCGAGCCTTCCAAGAAGCATGGGTGTTTCTAAGAAGCCTCCCCCCCCAACCTCGAAGGGTCTTTAGAGCCCCCACCTATAATGGGTAACAGATTATTTCCCCGGAGGCCTTATTCACGCACCGGTGTCCAGCAATAAGGGGGTACCAAATGTTTTGTATCCGCGGCACCCGCCGCGCAATGATGACGACAACAACGACGACAGCAACAAGGAGGGGGAGAGGAGGGAGGAGGAGGAGGAAATGAAGGAGGAGGAGGAGGAGGAGGAGGAGTAGAAGGAGGAAAAGCAATTCCACCAGGCATATGATGAGGACGGGGAAGCGGAGGAGGAGGAGGAGGAGGAGGAGAAGGAGCAGGATGAGGGGGAGGGGAGAGTTTTTTAGGACCAATTGTGTTCACCGCCGAGTGAGAAGGGGGTGGGGGATCAAATCACAAGACCCCTAGAAGTTACAGTAGGAGCATGACCAGAAGAAACCCTCCACAAGAAACCCAACCCTGAGACCCCAGGACGTCCCTTGATTTCTGATGTTGGAACCTCATGCCCTCCATAGGGAAACCATCCAAAAACGCAAGAAACCCAGGGCACCCTGGCGGCAAGCAGGGTGGCCAAAGCTTCCATGTGGAGACCAAGAGGTACCGATACCGCTACTCCCAGGACCTCTCCTGGGGAGCGCTCTGACCAGAATTCTGAGGCGAATCCAGCGGTGGCGAGGAGGGCCTCCGAGGAAACCCAAAAAGGGGAGAACCGGCGGAGGGTAGAGGTATGGGAACCTTTTCCTCCTCCGAGTTTCCTTGCAAGGGCTTCCAAGTGTGCCCCCCTCTGCGCGCGGCTGTCATCCCGCAGCTTTGGACGCCCGAAATGGGTACGGAAAAAATGGGCACAATGCCCAACAGCAAATGTTGCCCCAAACCAACAGTGGCCGCTGTTGGGCGGGCGGCCTTCTGTCTCGTATTGGACACAGGCCGCGGCGGCGCGGACAGCGAATCCTGATCAAAATGAACAGGAACCGCTGTTGGGCATTGAAGCCCATTCTTTCCGTACCCATCTCTTGAGCAGGGACCGACCGTCCCGGCATTGCTATAGTCATACAACGAAATGTTCTTAGAACCCAAAGATGCTCTAGGAGCAAAGCCATGTTTTTAGAACATAAACCCGATGTGTAAAAACAAGACAGACTCCGCCAGAAATGCTCCAAGAACATTTCGCGGAAACCACAAAAGGTCCTCTGAACATTGTTTGGTAGGGCTATGGGCACGCTGGGACGCTTCGCCACTGCTTGAACCTCGGGCGTCCAAAGCAGCGTGCGCCGCGGCGGCCCCAGCGGACCGGCCCGGCACGCTCCGGGCGGCCTCTTCTTCGGGCCGCCGCCGAGGCCCCCATCTGGGTGCCCCCGAGGAGCTCACGCGCTACCGTCGATGAAACCGGCCCAATCTTCCTTGGCGTCGCTCAGATGGCAGGACGAAGGTTCTGAGTGCCGACTAGGGGGTATCAAAAAAGATCATCCAACAAAACAAGACAACACACAAGCATAACCAAACTACCACCAAAACGCCTACCATAAGACAACCAACACGTCGACCATACTACCACCCAAACATCCAAACTCTAACACACATCCGCCAACACTACAACCATACGGTCACCAAACACTGTAAGGCTCGTGGAGATGCCGTCTCCTCAGACACGGCGGTGCTCCACCAGGCTCCTCGACGAGGACGACGGTGGATGCACTTTCGCACTGCACAAGGCGCGATCGTCGCCCCATGCCACACAGACCTCTTTGCACGCTCTGGCGGCGCGCAGAGGGGGGTATGGAGGAGGGGGGAAGGCTTCTCAGGAGGCTGCTTCTTGGAAGATGCGGGCCTCACATCTATAGAAAGGGCCCGCGCCTTCTTAGAAGCAGGGGTGCTTCAATAGAGGACTCCTAGATGGGGTTTGAGTAGATGGGGTCGGCGGATCGCGCCGCTTCGCCGATAAATCGGCGATGCTTCGGCGATGCTTCGGCGATGCACCGGCGATGCACCGACGACGCATCGCCAACGTCGGCAACGCATCGGCGTCGCCAGCGTGGAGAGAATCGGGCTCCGCATCGAGCCGCATCGCCGATGCATCGGCGATGCGGCGCGATCCCCCGACACAATCTACTCCGACCCCATCTGGGAGGCCTAGATTCTGAGAAACCTTCCCTCCTCCCCCTAGCTACGGCAGGCTCGCGTCGTGTCGACCCCGGCGATGGTTCCTGACACCTCGAGGATCGTTCAACCATGACCGATCGGCCCTTTTCGAGACCCCGAATCGGTCACATCGGCCGATCCTGGGACGCCGGCGGCCTTCAACCTTGAACGCACGCGCTGGGGTCGCCGCCGGTGGTCTCGACTGCGCGTCGCCGATCGCTGCACGCTGACAGCCGAGATGGAGGACGGGGCCGCTCGGCCCCTCGAGGCAGGCCGTCGCGTGCCGCGCGCGGCGCGGCGCGCGAGGTGCAGCCACAGTTCCGCCGACCCCTTGGGGTGGGCATCGATGAGCCGATCCCTGTCCCCACTGGCGTTGCCTGGGCCCCACTGGCAGACTCACCCCGCTGGATGCGGATATAGGCTGTGCCCCGCGGGCTTCGAGAGGCACATCCCCAACTGGGGTGGTAGGATGGTGGGGGTCGGGATAGGGATCAGGATGGGGTTAGAGATCGGTGAAACGATACTGATTGGGGTCTGCTCGGCGCGTGAAACCGTTCAGTCAGTCAAGCCTGGCGCCCAGGCGGCGCCTTGCCACACAAAAAAACTTGCGCGCGCTGGGCTGCAGGAAGGGGGGAGTGCACAGGAGGGAAGAGGGAGGGGGGCAGGGGAGAGGAAGAAGGGGGGCCACACCAATTCAGACCAGTCTGGCAGAAGCGAGAGACCATGTTGCCCCTCTCCCGCCCCCGCCCCCCTGAGCCTGGTCCAGTCGGCCTGGAGAGGGGGCAAAAGGGGTCGGTCGAGAAGGCACAAATGCTTCAGGACGTCTTCGAACGGCCCCGAGCTGGCCCCGAGAGGTCCCACGACGGCCTGCGATTGCCGCATGACCGCCCCGAGACGACTCAAGAGGAACTCGACACTGCCGAAGAAGCCTCCCAGACGCCTCCAGCGGACTCTAAGAGGAACCCCCCAAAAGGCCCCCAACCAGCAAACATAGCCCTGTCCCCTGAGGAGCACTATCCTTTACTGCATCTTCGTGTGTTTCTGAACCGTTCAAGACGGCCCAAGGAGCCCACCATATCGCCCCAAGACGCCCAAGACGGCGTCAAGGGGTACCCAACGCGGCCAAGGAAGCACTGAAGAGGGACCCAAGCCGACTCCAAGGTAGTCCAGGAAGCTCCCAAGACGAGCCCAGAGACGCTGCCGAAACGGCCTCCGAAGACACCACACGGCTCCAGAGAAACTTGCAAGAGGGATCAAGATGCCCTCAGCATGTCCCCCAAAGGCCGCGGAATGCTTCCAGGAGCCCTCTGAATGCTCATGCCCTGCGCGGTCCAGACGTGCATCCCGCGAAGCGCAACGGAACCCAATTTCCCATGGCGCAGGCAAACAGAATGCCCAGCTGTCCTGTTCTTGCTTGCGGGAGAATCTCTGGGACTCTCGTACCCCTTTTCCCGTGCGGCCCTGCCCTCCTCCTCCTCCTCCTCCTCCATCCTCCTCCCAATCCTTCTTCATCTTCCTCCTCTTCCGGACATGCACCCATGTGCGTACTCTCGGAGACAAACAAACCGCAGAAGCCCTCCGTGTAGTTTCAAAGAGGCCCCCAGAGAGCTCGCAAAAAAACACCTCACGAAGTACCAAGTGGCCAACGAGGCCTCTGCGCGCGGCACGATCGAAACATCAACACCATCACGCTCCACTGTGTCTGGGAGCGGGAACGCACGCATGAACAACATACGCGGACGTCGGTAACCGCCACCAAGCTGACCGGGCTAACGGTGGCAAGCGTTGCTAAGCGTTGCTACATCGCGACACTGAAAAAATGCCGGGCCACCTGGAGGCCCCAAGGGACCGGCTGTGTGGAATAAACCTTCGAACCGTAGGGCCGATCCACACAATGTTCCCGGCAAAGCAACCTAACAGCGATGTGTATAAGCATATCTGGAAGCGTTCCCCTTAAGATTCAGGTGAGAATCCAGTTGTAAAATTCTGCTGTTCTCGCAGTCGCAGTCGCAATGACAGTCGCAGTGGCAACGGCCTTAGGATCCAATGGAATCCTAGGGATTCCTATGGATTCCTTAGGAATACTTAGGAATCCATAGGGAATCCTTAGGAAATCCTGATTCATTAGGCATCCTTAGCAATCCTTAGGAAACCTTAGGAATCCTTAGGAATCCTGATTCCTAGGGATTCCTAGGGATTCCAAAGGATTCCTGAGGAATCCTAAGGATTCCTGAGGAATCCTAAGGACTCCTAAGGATTCCTGAGGATGCTTAACTATGCCTACGGACTCCTAAGGATGCCTACGGATGCCTACGGATTCCTAAGGATTCCTATGGATTCCTACGGATGCCTCAGCCTGCCTCAGTTTCAGCCTCAGCCTCCGCCTGCCCTGGCTTGCATCAGCCTCAGCCTCAGCCTGCCTCGGCCTCAGCCTCAGCCTGCCTCAGCCTCAGCCTCGGCCTCAGCCTGCGTCAGCCCCAGCCTCACCCTGCCTCAGCCTCAGCCTGTCTCAGCCTCAGCCCCAGCCTCAGCCTCAGCCTCGGCTTGCCTCAGCCTCAGCCTCAGTCTGCCTCGGCCGCAGACTGCCTCGGCCTCAGCCTGCCTCAGCCTCCATTCTCCCCCCCCTCTTTCACCCCCCCATTCAGCTTCACCTTGTCTCAGCTTCGGCCTGCCTCGGCCTCATCCTCATCCTCAGCCTCAGTCTCAGCCTCAGCCTGTCTCGGCCTGAGCCTGCCTCGGCCTCAGCCTCAGCCTGCCTCAGCATCAGCCTCAGCCTATCTCAGCCTCAGCCTTCCTCAGCCTCAGCCTCAGCCTCAGCCTGCCTCGGCCTGAGCCTGCCTCGGCCTCAGCCTCAGCCTGCCTCAGCCTCAGCCTCAGCCTGCCTCAGCATCAGCCTCAGCCTATCTCAGCCTCAGCCTTCCTCAGCCCCAGCCTCAGCCTCAGCGCCTGCCTCAGCCTCAGCCTCAGCCAGCCACAGCCTCAGCCTCAGCCTGCTTGAGTCTCAGCGTGCCTCAGCCTCAGCCTCGGCCTGCCTCGGCCTCAGCCTGCGTCAGCCTCAGCCTCAGCCTGCCTCAGTCTCAGCCTGCCTCAGCCTCAGCCTCAGCCTGCCTCGGCGTGCCTCCGCCTCAGCCTCAGCCTCGGCCTCAACCTGCCTCAGCTCGGGCATTCAAAATATGGCAAAGGACTCGTGTTCTGGGAACACGAAGATCACGAAGTGGCCTACAGTTGGCTCCGAGCATTCAAAATGTGGCCACACGAAATGGCCTACAATTGGCTCCGGGCATTCAAAATGTGGCCTGGGAGTGGTGTTTTGTTGGCTCCGGGCAGTCAAAATGCGGCCCGGGAAAATGTTCTGGGGAGTCCCCGGATCCCCCGGATTCCCCCGGCATCCGCCCAGACCCCTCTGGGGAGTCAAGATGCTCTCTTTTGACCCCACTAGAAACCTATCAGTCTTCGCTGTTAGGTAACCACCAACAACGAGAATCTGCCGACGCCCGCTGGCCAGCGTTTTCTTGCCAGGGGTGGGAAGCCGCGCGGGAGGTTGGACTGTCCGCCTCCCGTACCACTAATCGACGCTAGTCGACGCTACCAAACGCTAGATCGACGCTAATCATCGCGAACCGACGCTAAACGGGCGCTATCTCGATCATCGACTCCCAAACGCTCATCGACGCCAAAAACGGAACGCCGAAGGTATACCAGGCCCCCACGATTTGCCACCGAATCTCCCCTCCCCAGCCCCATGTCCACGGGGGGCCCAAAACACGCTCAAGGAGGGGGGCGACCTCCTCAACGCATTTCCGGTGGCCTGGGAGACTCCAAATCCACCCTGCGAAGGGGGCATGGGTCAAAGAGCCACCACGCACACCGAGTCGTTGGGTCAGAAAGAAAGAGAGAGATAGAGAGAGAGAGGAACAAAACATACAGATACATATACATATACATATACATATACATATACATATACATGTATATATATAAATATATACATATATAGATATACATCTATATATATGTATATATATGTATGACTATATATATATATATATATAATGCATTCAAGGAGGGCGCGCCGCTGGATGAATCGAGCGGGGAAGGGGGCTGGTACCCTCCATCCTTCCCCCCCCCCTTTCCCCGATCCGTCGTCGGGAACTACCCCCCCCTTCCCGGTCCGTCGTCAGAAAGCCCCCCCCTTCCTCATCCGTCGTCGGGGACCCCCCTTTTCCCCCCCCTTGGGCTCGAAATTCGACACCCCCCTCCTTCCCCCCTGTCGCCGCGCCGCCCCTTGACCCCAGAACCCGCCCCCCCCGACCACCCCCAACACAAATCGTCACCCCAACCCCTGATCCCACAAACCCAACCCCTAACCGTAGCCCCAAACAGTATCCGATACTCACAACTCAACACCCACTACCCACCACTCGATGCTTCGGACTCAATAATCACTGCTCACTACTCAGTATCCACTACTCATTGCCCACTACTCACTATTCACTACTCGATACTCAATGAACACGATCCACTACTCACTTCTCATCACTCCCTTCTCCCGGCTCACCACTCGCTACTCGGTACTCACTATGCACTACTTTCTAGCCTCTACTCCCTACACACTACTTGCTACGCACTACTCATCAGTACCCGCTACTCCATACCCGGTACTCGCTAATCAATACTCGCTACTCATCACCCACCGCTCACTACGCAGTCATCACTACTCACTATTCCCTACTCCCTACTCATCACTACACACTACGCATTATTCCCTACCCACTACCCACTACCCACTAACCAGTACTCACTTGTCACTATTTACAACCCCCTACTCGCTGCTCGCTACCCCCCACTCGCTACTCGCTACTCAATATTCCCTGTTCACCGCTCTACCCATTACTCACGAATCACTCCTCACTACTCCCCACTCAGTAGTCACTACACACAACTCACTACTCACTACTCACCACGCACTACTCCCTGCTCGCCACTCACTAATCATTACTCACTACGCACTACTCGCTACTCACTACCCGCTACCGACTTCCCACATCGCATTACGCACTATTCACGGCTCCCTACTCACTATTTACAATTGGCTACTCACTACTCACTACTCGCTACTCCCTACCCGCTACTCACTACGCACTACTCACTACTGCCTACTCCCTACGTGCTACTCACTACGCACTACCCACTACTCGCTTCTGTTTACTCTCTACTCGCTACCCCCTACTCGCACCTCACTTCTCCCTACCCACTACCCACTACCCACTACTCACTGCTCACCACCCACTACTCACTATTCGCTACTCACTGTTCACCACTCAGTATTCACTACCCCCCACTACTTTCTACTCGCTACTCAATACCCAGCACTCACTACTCACTACTCTCCTTTGGCAACCCACTACACACCACGCGTTACCCACGACCCACTTCTCACTTCACACTACTCACCACCGACTCGCGGACACCGCCGCGGGAGCCGTCGCCGAAGAAGGCTTTGCAGCAACCCGCTTTTCACTCCGAATGCTGTGGCCCGCAAGTGCTTTAGCAACCAACCACGATTTCAGCTTCGCCATGGATTGTGGTTCGTCTATCATCGTCTTGGCTTCCGATGTCGCCTGAAGGTCCATGCCATATCTTCGCGACATGACAAGGTTCCGTGAGCGAGGCCAGGGGTAGCACCCCGCATGAATCAACGTAGAGGCAAGACCCTCTAGCGAAGATCTCGCCCCAATACGCCCAATCGCCCCGGAGTGCGTTGGAAGCCTGTAATCCATGTTTCCATGGCACTGCTGAGAATTCCCTCGCTTCGAGGCTCGTTCGGATAATCCTGGTCATCAAGCGCCCTCCCCGCAGCGAGAAGGTCGTAGTTGTCCCGAAGAGCAGCCCACTTCTCCACGACATTCGGGTGCAGGACCTCCCGCGAAACGCCCTCGGTGAGGAAGCTATCGAACTGGGGGAAGGTACCCCCCAACTCCGAAAGCCAGACCAATCCTCGAACCGTTGAAATGCTCTGTCGTCCCCGAGGATTGTTCCAACGCGAAAGACGCAGCAGAGGCCAATAACTGGGGCTTCTTCAAGCAGGCACGCATATTGACAGATCCCTCGGTCGTGGTGCTCTTCCGAGGAAATTTCATCACCGTGCTGTTTTGGGGAAAAATCATCGTATCCCAAACCCCGTCCTGCCCAAGAACCCATTTGGCAGGGCCGTCTTGCTTCCTCCATCACTGCGTCGACGGCATGGCAGGAGCGGCAGACATGCTCGCCATCACAAAAGAGACAGGCAGAGAAATCCGAGCAACAACAACTATCCTGAGAGGCTTGAGCCCAGAAAACACTACGAACCCTCCTATGGGGGGTTGGCGCCCTAATATCTGATCAGAGACTGGACACAAATGGGGACGCGTGCGCCAGAAGGCGCCCCCAGTGGCACAATGCTTTCGTCCGCTGCTGACGCTCGGGCCACGCTGCGGACTTGAGCCAACATGATTACGGAGCCCCCAGTGCCACCGTCCGCACGCGCCTCGAAACACCAAACTTGGCATGTTCACCCACCAGGTACCGCGTTTGGTGCCCCCATCAGGAGCTCCACCGAAGCCCCCCAGTGCCACCGTCCGCATGCGCCCCGAAACACCAAACTTGGCATAATCACCCACCCAATACAACGCTTCGTGGCCCCATACGAAGCTTTACCGAAACCCCCAGTGCCGCCGTCCGCATGCGTCCTGGAAGCCCGATTTGGCATTTTCGCTCACGCAGCACAGCGCTTCGTGGACCCATAGGGATCTCCACCGAAGCCCCCAGTGGGACCGCCCGCATGCGTCCCACATACCAACTTGAACATTCTCACCCCCCCGGTACAGCACTTCGTGGCCCCATAGGGAGCTCCACCGAAGCCCCCACTGGCACCCAATTTGGCGCTTTCACCCACCCAGTACAACGTTTCGTGATCCCATAGGGAGCTCCACCGACGGCCCCAGTGCTACCGCCCGCATGCCCCCCCCCCCAAGGCAGCGCTTCGTGGCCCCATAGGGAGCTTCACCGAGGCCCCCAATGAGACCACCCACATGCATCCCACACACCCAATGTGGCATATTCACCCACCCAGCACATCGTTTCGTGACCCCATAGGGATCTCACCCAACAGCCCCAGTGCTAGGCCCGCATGCGCTCCCCCGCTCCCAGTGCAGCGCTTCACCGAAGATATTCACAACTGCGGTACCCACAACTGCATATGACTGTGTCCTTCGCCCGGATAAATATAGCACGTGTACGCTTCACACGAACTGTTATACACATACACGTGCTATGTATGAATGACATGTATATGTGCACAATCGTATGCATATGTGTATATATATGTGTAGTTGCGCACGCATGCACGAATCATTCTACATAACTATACATGCATGTGTGAATACACATAAGTATACACATATGTGTATAAAGAGAGGCCGAGGTTGAGGTCTATACTCCTGAAAGGACCTATCCTCGCCAGCAGTCGCTGCTCGATACCGGAGCCAAAACAACGATAGACGAGGAAGAGAATGAAGTGCAGGGCACATACTCGCAAAATGCCCAAGACGATTTCCAGTATGGCTCAAGGAGACTCCAGCATGCCAGACAGGACCCAAGATCACAAAATTGTGCCTTAAGACGGACCAAGGGGCTCCAACAAGAACCCCAAGAGAGCCTCAAGAGACAAATGCCATTCATGCACTATGGATTTGCGACCGATTATATAATGTGCCTCTTAGGGCTTCTGGAAGCCCAAAACGGCCCGAGAGGCCCCCAAACAAGCCCATCATTGCCCAGGCTGCCCCAAGACGGCCAAAAAGGCGGTCGGACATTGAGCAGGGACCGACCGTCCCGGCAGTCCGATAGGCCTACCACGAAACCTTCTTAGAACCCACAGATACTCTAGGAACAAGAACAATGCTCTTAGAACGTGAGCCCGATGTGCTAAAACAAAACAGTTCCAACAAGAGATGTTTCAAGAACATGCCGTGCGAATCGCACAAGGTTCTTCATACATTCTCTGGTAGGCCTATAGGCGAGCCCGGACGCTTCGCCACTGTTCGAATCACGGCCCAGGCTGCCCCAGAGGCGGCCAAACCGGCAGTCGCAAGGGCCTCAACAGGGGCTCAACAAGGGCCCAACAGGGGGAACTCGCAGGGGTCCCTGGAGCCCTCCTCGACAAGAGGGCCCTCAGATCCTCAACGTGCCCTCAAGAGGCCCCCCGAATGATGGGACTGTTTTCCACCACCACCACCATAAGTTGGAGGGGGGAAGGAGGTGGAGGAGGAGGAGGAGGACGAGGACCCCCTCCCCCTCCTACTTACGGTGGTGGTGGCGGAATACAAGCCCAACACACAAGTTCCCAAGAAGTCCTCAGAGGGACCCTATAAACAGTAACCCCGGAGCCAATGAAAAGGCTACCAAAGGGCGGCCCTGGAGGCGTCTGAGGAGGCCCACAAGAACCTCCGCCACACACAGAGACGGAGAGAGAGGGACGAATCAGCAACAATGCAAACACATCACGACGGGAAACGGCACGCCACACATACGAAATAGGAAGCCGCTCATCTGCGCGTCTTGGGGGCGGCGGAATGGGTAAACCTCTTGAATGAAATGGGCACAAGGAAACAATAAACATCGCAAGACATCTTTCACCACGAGAACGACATACCACCATTAGCCCGTCTGGTCACATATTACTAGTAGCCGGCTATGGTGAGGGTAAGCCAATCAAGGCCTTCGTACAACCCGTCACCGACAGTTGCGGTTGTCTCTTGTACAAGCCACTTTCGGCTCCTGCCAAGGCCATTTAGCCCGAGCTTGGCCGTGAGCTCTTGCGTCGTCATGGCGTCCGGCAGATCCTGCTTGTTCGCCAAAACCAGGAGCGCTGCGTCTCTCATCTCCTCTCTGTGCAGCATCTTGAGGAGTTCCTCGTGGGCTTCCTCGATGCGCTCCCGATCGGAGCTGTCCACCACGAAGATAAGAGCATCCGTGGTCTGGTAGTAATGCTCCCAGATCTTGCGTGTCTTTGTCTGCCCCCCGAGGTCCCAGACGGTGAAGACGAGGTTCTTGTACTCGAGCTTCTCCACGTTGAAACCTACTGTGGGGACTGTGGTCACAATCGTGCCGAGTCTCATCCGGTAAAGCACCGTGGTCTTGCCAGCGCCGTCGAGGCCCACCATGATGACACACACCTCGCGCCTGTAAACGGTGGGAGGAGAATGAGGATGAAGGAAGGGAGAAGGGAGAAGGGCGAAGACAGATGTGCTGGAGGCCAAGGAAGAGGGAGGTTAGGATAAAAGGGAGTAATGCAGCAAGGGGGAAGGAGACGGACAGGAGCCCTAAGCTTTGTATGCAGGACGGTATTTAGAAGCATCTGGCGACATGCGACGACCCCGCACAAGGCATCATCGTCCCGAACCCTCTTCGCAGAGAGGATGTGGAGGATGAGAAGAAAGAGGAGGAACATGCAATGAGGAAGGAGGACAAGGAAGAGTGCGGAAAAGGTTCGGCAGGGGAGCGGGAGGGAGGGAGAGAAAGCGGGGAGGGCGGGTGGGAGGGTAGCCCATCCCTCCCTGCCCCCCCCCCCCCTGCCCATCTTCCTCCTTCTTGTGCTCCTGCTGCCCCCTCCTGAGGCGCTTGGGCAGATAGTCAGGCTTGCCATCCCTCGGACACCCATTCCCCGTGCGTCTTTCGGTCTCGTGCGTGCTTTTTGCTGCAAGATGATGCAGGCTGCTCCTCGATGGTTTTCGCCGGGAGAAAAAAAGAAACCACACAAAACCCAAACAGTATCCTGGCGAAGAACCCAACCGTATGCAGCTGTGAGTACCGCGCGTTGTGGGTACCGCCCTCGGTGGAGCTCCCTATGGAGCCACGATCTTCGTGAGGGGTGTGGCGAAATGTGCGGGGGGGCGCATGCAAACCCTGCCGCTGGGGCCTTCGGTGGAGCTCTCGATGGGGCAACGATCCTCGTGAGGGGTGTGCTAAAATTTGCGGGGGGGACAATGCAAACCCTGCCGCTGGGGCCTTTGGTGGAGCTCTCTATGGGGCCACGATCCTCGTGAGGGGTGTGCCAAAATTTGCGGGGGGACGCATGCAAACCCTGCCGCGGGGCCGTCGGTGGAGCCACCTATGGGGCCACGATCCTCGTGAAGGGTGTGGCGAAATGGGCGGGGGGGACGCATGCAAACCCTGCCGCTGAGGCCTTCGGTGGAGCTCCCCGTGGGGCCACGATCGTCGTGAGGGGTCTGCCGAACTGGGCGGGGGGACGCATGCAAACCCTGCCGCTGAGGCCTTCGGTGGAGCTCCCTATGGGGCCACGATCCTCGGGAGGTCTTGGCCGAAATGGGCGGGGGGACGCATGCAAACCCTGCCGCTGGGGCCTGCGGTGGAGCTCCCTATGGGGCAACGATCCTCGTGAGGTCTTGGCCGAAATGGGCGGGGGGACGCATGCAAACCCTGCCGCTGGGGCCTTCGGTGGAGCTCCCTTTGGAACCGCGATCCTCTTGAGGGGTTCGCCGAAATGGGCGGGGGGACGCATGCAAATCCTCTGCCGCAAGGGCCTTTGGCGGAGCTCCCTATAGGGCCACGATTCTCGTGAAGGGTGTGGCGAAATAGGCGGGGGGACACATGCAAACCCTGCCGCTGGAACCTTCGGTGGAGCTCCCTATGGGGCCACGAACCGTGTGAGGAGTGTGCCAGAAGGGGGAAGGGCATGCGAAGAGCAGAAGCAGGGATGGAGGAGGGAGGAGGGGTAGGAGGGGGAAGAGGAGGAGAGGAGGCGCGGGGCGCTGTCTCCTCAAAACGAAGATCCAACACCACAGGGTGGCCGGGACACAAAAAAAAACGTCCGAGGGGTGCCGCGCAGCAGGAGCAGACTGACTACCTACCAGACCACCCCAACCCAACCCGAAGACCCGAATTCGACCCGAATGTGTTCTCTCAACGCTCCCCGACCCCCCCCACTGGAAATGGAAGGCAAATCGAGGGCTTCGGGTTGGGTTGGGGTGGTTTGGTGGGTGGTGACAGACGGGGCGGGGCGGCGCCCGGGCCTGCCGAAGAGGCGGCTCCACACCCCGGAGGCGGCCCCGCCGACGCCGCTCGGCGGCGCGCCGCAGAGGTGCTGCGGGTCGCCGACGACGCGCTGCCACTGCTCGGACAGGCTCTGACCCATGGCGGCCAGGGCCTGAGCCCCGGGCGGCGGGAGCAGAAGAGCAGCAGACGGCAGAAGCATGCTCGACTCTGGGATCTCGATCCTCGATCCTCGGACTTCGATTCTCAATCCTCGATCCTCGGCTTTCGGTCCTCTTAACATCGTCTCTTTCTCCTCCCACACGCTGGCCTCCGGCAAGCAACCTTTATGATCCACCCGCGACCGAAAAACTTGATCGTCCCTGTGGGATTATTCTCCGTCGGACTGGGAGTACATGCGGAGCTGGGGAGAATCGGAACGGAGATGGCATCGCCCTGGCGACAGGGGAGGGGACGGGGTCAAATCGATGCAGGAAGGGCAAAAAGGCCAGAGGTATGGCAAGAGGGGGGAGACGAGGCGCACGGCAAGGCCGTGCGAATGCTGGCGAGCACGGTAGCGGCCCAGTCCATGAGAAACCTCCCGCCAGAAACCCAACCCTGAGACCCCAGAGTTGCCAACGTGGCCTGTGGTGCGCGAGCGCCACGCCTTCCGCAGCAAGATCCAAGAAATCCGCGCGCGGCGACCGGTGGCTCCCAGACGCCCGATGTGGCCGCGTCCATGTTGTGGCGCTGTCAGCTTGCGGCCGCGTTGTAGCGCTGCCTCCTCCTCTTCCTCCTCCTCCTCCTCCTGCTCCTCCTCCTCCTCTCCCACCTCCACCTCCTCCTCCTCCTCCTCCTCCTCCTCCTCCTCCTCCTCCTGGCGCCCTGGAGAGATCACGGTGGCTGGCTCTCTGAAGGCCTGCCTGCCGGGCCCCTGGGCACGAGAGCAGCACCCCGCTCCGAGCGGGGTCCAGGCACGGGCTGCGGAAGAAGAGCTCGGGAGGCCCACGGACTGGCAAACGAGGAGGAGGAGGGGGAGGGCGAGGAGGAGGAAGAGGAGGAGGAGGAGGAGGGCGAGGAGGAGGATGAGAAGGAGAAGGAGGAGGGCGAGGAGGAGGGCGAGGAGGAGGAGGAGGAGGAGGAGGAGGAGGACTGCGCACGCAGGCAGGCAGGCCCGAGCGAGCCCACGAGGGGCCCGAGCGAGGGGGCCGACAGAACGAGGAGGCCCGTGGGCCGCAGGGGCACGAGGGCGAAGGAGGAGGAGGAGGAGGAGGAGGAGGGAGGAGGAGGAGGAGGAGGAGGAGGAGGAGGAGGAGGAGGAGGAGGAGGAGGAGGAGGAGGAGAGGCACATCGGTGCAAGAGAAGGAGGGGAGAGGAAGGAAGAAGAAGAAGAAGACTCGGCCTTGCGCGTGGTCTGTGCCGATCCCTGACCGCGCGTGAACCCGTGCAATCAGAGCCCTACCTCGAACGATCATCGAGCGAGTGCGATGAGGTCGTGAGTAGCGCGCGCCGTGCAGCCTGTCGTACGTGCTCGTACCCAGGCAGTCGCAAATCGTGAGACCCCTCGAGGGCTGGGGGGGACACCCCACTGGCCTCCCAGTGCCGAGCCCACGTCGCTGCGGGCGACGGGCAGGCCTCCGAGGCACCCGCCCCGCCCCGAGGAGGGGCCCACACTCCAGCAAAGCGACGGACGAAAGGGGAACGACGCGGAAGAGAGGACGACGAGGCGAGAGGGCGAGGCCAAAGCAGGAGAAGAGCAGAGGAAGCAGCGGAGGGGAGTGTGGGTCCCCGAATTCTGGAAGATAGCCACTCCGAGGAAGAGGTGGGGAGAAAAGGCGGCTCGGCGCAGCCTAGAGGGGCGGGGCCTCGGACATCGAGGTCACGTGGCAGGCAGGTACTCGGTGGTGGCCAGCGCGGGCGTGCACACAAAGCCGCGGGGACGAACTTGGCGGAGACCCGCGTGAAGTTCGACAGGTGGTGTCGGGCCCGATCCCGTAAGGACAAAGCCGCGAATACACCACATAACATCATCAAAGAAAGAAAAAGAGCGCGCTGACGCCAGAGTCGAGCGGTGCGCTCAGAAGAGAGGAAACCTACAGTGCAGCAAAGAGGCGTGGCGACGAGCGGAATCGCGAGGCATCGCGACCGTCTGAATATTAATTGACCCAGCCGTCTAGGTCGTCAGCATCAGGTACGTGGATTCGAGGAGGACGTATGGAACAGCACGTCAGCGTATGTAATGTCATGTATCTGTAGAAGAGTGGGTGTCCATCTGAGCCAACTGTGAGCCGTCAAGTAAGACGAGGGGTTCCGTCTCATAGACTTGAAGCACGAGTCGGCGGGAGTCCAAAAAAACCTCAAATCCTCCGGTACACAACGCTCCTTCGGAAAGATAGTTCGTGAACTCAGAATATGGAGGTGCTGTCCAAAGTCCGTCATGTAGTGTCATTTTGCGAGAGTTCCCGTGCTCTGATGCGTGCAAAGATGGCAGCCCGACGAGCCTCCCACGGAGCGGGGCCCGAATCTGGCTGACTTACTTCGCGCCCTTGCCCTTGCCCTTTTGCTTCGTCTTGTCGAGGATGCGCTGCGCCATGGTCTCCAAGTGCCCCTGAGGGGCGGTCCCGAGCTTGAGCTTCGCGTCCTCCAGCTGAGCTAGCTTGATGATCGACTGCTCCACCTCCAGCTTGCTCAGATGACGCTCGGGCGACCCCTCTTGAGCGTCCGCCAGCTGCACCGTGACGTCCCCGCCGATCGCGAACTGCAGTCGGGTGTACTCCTCGTTGTAGCACTTCTTCAGACGGAAGTGCCTGATCACTAATCCTAGCTCCGCAGCCGAGCTGATCGACACGAACTTCTCGTAAAAAAGGACCAGGGTTTGGTACGCCTGAGTCCCCGACTTCTGTAGCTTCTCTGATTCGACCATCGACTTGAACACGCCGCGCGCTATGTGCAAATGTGGTGGCCCCAGATGGGGCTTCGCTGCCGCGATGGCTGCCGCCTCCGCGTACATTTTGCCTGCGCCTCGCCCTGCGACCACCAGGAAGCTCAGCGTCGGGATGACGAGGCACACCCACTCCGACGCCGCCAAGTCCCTCAGCAGCTGCGCGTGCATGCACGCCATCTTGAGCAATATCGATATGGCCTGCTGCATGTCTCGAGCCCGAAGGGCCCCCTCGACCTGCTGAAGACCGTCTTCTGCCTCGTCTGCTGCGTCCCCGAGGTTGGCCTTTTTTCCCGAGGGTGCTCCTCCGAGGTCCTCGCCGTCGCCTGGCTTGCGCTTGTGCTTCTTGATCAGCAGCTCCAGGTCCATGGACGCCGCGTCTGGTTGCGACATGCCGCGGTCGAAGCCGAGGCCGAGGGAGAGTAGGAGCACCCAGGGCACAGTGTGTGCGTATGTGTATCTGAAGTTGTCGGAGATCTTGAGCCGTGAAGCTGCATGCGGGGCAATCGAGTGAGAAAGGTTGAACAACTTCTGCCGCCGTGTAGCTACTGCGTCCTAGAGCGCAGCGATTGTGGGCATAAGATCTCATAACATGTCGCTGAGCATTCTCCCGAGTACTGAGAACCTGGAGGCACCGAAAACACTGGTTCGTGACCGTGAGAAGTGCTGCCTCGTTTCGAACTTTGTGAACTCTGCCTGCGTGCAATAAAAGAGCTTTCATGCTGGTGAAAGTGTCGCCACACCGCTGCCCCTCTGAGTTCTTCAGATTGCAGACGAACTCGCCAGGGGCGTCCACCTCCTCCTCCACCTCCTCGTTCATCACGATACTCGGGGCCACCGAGGGCCCGCCAGGTGGAGCGATCGCTTTAGAAAAGTAGGTGGCCCTGATAACTGTGAGGTCAATCGAGGCCCAGTCGTCGAAATCGTTAGTGTAAAATAGACCCAAGAGAGGAAAATCTTCTGGAATTAAATCAGCGAGCTCCTCAGACTGGCCTCTGGCAAACTGGAGGTCCTCAAGTACCTGACGAGCCCAGGGGTTAGCCTTTTCGTGGATCGTCCAGTCGTCGTTCATGCTAGGTATGTCATTGATCGTGCCTAGTATGCATGCCCGAACCTGCCTGTGGGCGCTAGGGTATTTAATCCAAGACTGATACCAACGTAGCCTACGAAGTCGCAGTTCGTCTGCCAAAGGAAGGATCTGCCAGTAGGCCCATACCCTCTGAGCGCTCCACCTCCAGCGCTCCCCGTCGTGGTCCTCAGTGCCCTTGACCCCGAGACCCCTGCGCATCGCCCTCATCATGATCTTGTCACCCTCGACCGTGAAACTTTTATCTGGGACCCTCCCCTCCATCCCCGACAAGAGAGCACCTTGCACATACGAAAGGATGGCCATGCGCTTGATGCCGCGGGCAGCCTCGTGGACAAGAAAGTGAGAGATGATGCCGAGGCCTGTCCGTCCTGCCTGGAATCTTTTTCCTTTCTCAATCTGCAACGATCCCTGCACCGTCAGCCAACCGCCGAGGATGCGCATAAATCTGCCAAACTGCCCAGAGAGACGCAGAGTACCTGCATGCAGGAGGCGGCGTTGGGCGATGCAGCCTTTCCCAAAAAGCCTAGCAAGTGTGACCCTCTTGCCCTCGTTGAGCCCCACGCCGATGCCGTCCAGGGAGGATGCGAACTTACTGCTGCTAACCTGTGCCAGTGCGGTAAGGTGACGTGCCTCCCCTCCTCCTCCATAGGGTTCAGGTCCTCTTCCTGGGATCACCGTCTTCGTGATATCGTCGGCGTACAGTGTGATGCCCGTGTCCGTGCGTGTGCCGTCCACCTCCTCCGCCTGTGAATAGGTGTACGAGCTCGTCCCCGCCCTCCAGCTCAGAAAGGCCTCCAGGCCCTGAAGATAGAAATACGGGAAGCCTCTAGCAGGATTAGGGTGTCCCATGAGCTCTCCAGAGGTAGGCCTGAGGGAGATGGGCCTGTCGGGTCCCATGATCTGCATCGCCGTCTGCATCGTGCGAGAGTGCTGGAACCTAACGTCCTCGGGGAGGTAGAGGGACTCGAGGCAATTCAAGATCGTCTCTCGTGTCGTACTGGCGAAAGCGTTCGTGGCGTCTTCGTTGAGGAGGAGCATTAGGAGGAGGAGGATTAGGATTAGGAGGAGGAGGAGGAGGAGAAGGAGGATCGCGTGAGGCAGTGGGGAGGATCCCAGGGCCTGCCCCGACTCGCGAGGCGCGGCGGTGCAGCTGCGCGGAGCCGCCGCGGAGCGCACGGCGCCCACATCCGCCCGCCGGCCCCGGGCCCCGGAGGCGGGCGCGGCCTCGGGCCAAGGCGGCCTCGACCGCAAGAGGGAGGGGACTAGGGCTACCCCAGATTTCGTAATAAAAGGGAGGGGGTCACAACCCTCCCTTCTCCTCCTCCTCCTCCTCCTGCTCCTGCTCCTGCTCCTCCTCCTGCTCCTCCTCCTCCTCCTCCTCCTCATCCTCCGCTTCCTCCCCCACTCCTAGCCCTTTCGATCAGGGTCCGCGGCACCGGCCGTCAGGCCTCTCCAATAAAAGGGAGGGGGTCACAACCCTCCCATACGAGAAGTCTTAGACCCCCCCCAGACCATCCATGAAGGGGCGGCCCTCTGCCCAGACCCCCCCCGAACCCTCCAAGACAGCTCAAATCAGACCCCCCAAAAAATGTGACCCCCCCCACTTTATTTTGGAATCCGGGCTAAGTCGGGCCTGTCTCCCTACAGGGGGATTTTGGACGAAACGTACAAACAATACTCGACACATGCTCCAAAGATGCCCCAAAATACTCAAAAAATAGTCCCCAGACTATTTTTCACTATTTTTCAATCTTCCCCCTGCAGAGGGACAGGCCCGACTTAAGACGAGGGCGAGAGGGGGGGGGATAGGAGGCTGACGACGACGAGGACACAGAGGATTCAGGGGCGGCCGAGAGGGGGGCGTCGACGAGGGGGGGGGGCGCAAGTCATGGCCAGCGGCACGTGCGCGGCCCCGGGGATGGGCCAGGGACGCAACGAAAGAAGAAGAGGCGCCGTGAAATCTGAAGGAATATCATGGCCCACGCCATGAGATCCTCCCCCTACTCATCACCCCCCTCTTTGCCGCCCCCAAAGGACGGATGGGACGGATGGTGACGAGCACGGGGGTGACACCGGATCGGGGGTGGCTTAAGGCGCCCCTGGCCCATGGTGCCCCCAGCACTTCGCTCCATGCTGGAGCCCTTTGGGCCCACTGGGCCTCGTGCGGGGTGCTCTGGAGGCCGTGGGGGCCTCCCTGGAAATCCTGGAAGCACCTTGTGCCAAGGGCACTTGTAGCAACCTCCGACCCGGGGAGAAGGAAGATAGATCACACCCGCCCTCTTGTTGCAGGTCGGGCATGTCCCCCTACAGGTGGAGATCGAAGGACACATGAAAAGACAATCGAAACATACCCCCAAAAGTCAAACATCGTCCCCAGACATGCTTTGACACTTCCCGAACCTTCCCCCTGTAGAGGGACGTGCCCGACGCCACTCTCGTTCTTTGAGCCCCCCATCTTCCCCCTCGGGGTGGCCGGCACGCGTCGCGAACCTGGTGCACCTGGCGCGGCTCGGGGATCTCCTGACCTCGGTCAATCCAGACCCGGGTCAGCAGGAGACCAAAAACTGCAATGCAAGAACAAAAAACTGCAACGCAGGTCTTCGCGGACCCGGGTCAGCCAATGTGCGCGGCCGCCTCGCGGCCACGAGCGGCTCGCGAACCCCGGTCAGCCAGAAGGGGTCTTCGCGAGATCCTGCAGGACCCGGTGCCCTGGCTGAGCCCCGTGGCGCCTGGTGGCGCACCCGGTGGCGCGCGCCTGGCACGGTTCGGGCCGCCGGCTCGCCCGTCTCGTCCTGTGCGCGCGGCGCGCCGGGTGCGCGAGGCGACCCGCGCGGAGCGAGCGTCGCGCACCTGGCGTGCGTGAAGGGGCCCTGGGGTACACAAGTGAATAGGCAGAACCAACAGGATTCCCAATCTTTCCTATAGTTTCTGGGCTTCTGTCTCCCCCACCGCTTCCCATATTCTTTCCTATATTTTCTGGGGAACCGACGACTGACTGTGTCTGTGCGTGTTTGTCCCCTCCTGTGTGCGTGTTGCTTCCCGATGGGTGTCCATCCTGCGTACAAGGAGTCTGGGGTGCCACGTGAACGGCTGGAAGGCGGGTGGGACTGAGCGAGACGGACTGCGGGTCTTCCTTTCTGGGAACTTGACCTCTGCTCTGCATCAATCCTTAGTTCCTATATGGTGAAACACCCTCACGTCCCCACACAGCCGGCCGATAGCAGCCCCGCCGTCCGAACTGTCAAAAAACCACACAAACTCAATTTTTTCTCTCCAGCATATCGTCGAATTGTGAAAAATGATACGGGAATGGGACAAAATGGGCATCGGGTAACCCTAAGCGGGTCGGCGCGTCCTACCCGTTAAAAACAATACAAAGTCAACGTTTTTCTCGCCAGCATGGACTTTCTTGTCGCCGACGCTGCGAACAGAGTAGCACCAATGAGACGCGGCGCACATCGCGCGCGGACGCCTGGCCAACCCTACGCGGGACCCCCCCGTCCTACCTGTCAACAAAAAACAACGCAACGTCGACGTTGTTATTGCCAACATGTACTTTCACCTCGTCGGCGCTGCCAATCGCGAAGAGGCGTTCTCCTCTTCCTCGTCGGTCCCACCTGCCCTCTGGGCGTCGGTGGTTTAGGGCGTTTCCTCTTCCACCCCTTCCTCTTCCCCTTCGGGGAGGGGTTTACCCCTCCCCCTACCCCCTTCCCATGGACCTGGACGGGGGGGGGGCGGGGAGGTGTCAGCGCGTACCTTTTCGCCCAAATTGGCTCCAAGAGGGCCACAGCGAGCCCAAAATAGCCTCCAAGATGGCTCAAGATAGCGCAAGATGCCTCGACATATCCCCAAAGATGCTCCAAGATGGTTCTAAGTGGCCAAAAGAGCTCCCCAACGAGGCCCCGACGAAGCCAAACATCGCCCCAAAACCTAAGGACATCAATGCGTGTTGCTGTCTCACCCTTTCGCTTCCGATGGCCATCCGAGGCTCCAAGATGGCTCCAAGATGGCCCAGGATGGCCCCAAAAGGGGCCCAAGACGGCCCCAAAAGCGCCCAAGAGCGCTCGAAGAACGCTCCAATATGGGTCCAGGAAGCGTAATTAATGAATCCCCCGTTGTTGACCGATCTCATCCAAGATGGCCCCAAGAGGGCCCCTGAAGCTTCCAATAACGCCACGACAAGGCCCCCAAAGGGGCCCAGACAAGCCCAAGAGGCGCCCAAGACGCCCCAAATAGCTGCCCGTGGGGCCCCCAAGAAGCCGCAATAGTCTCTCTGAAGTTCCTAAAAAGCTCCCAGACGTTTCAAGAAACTTCCACGACAACCCCGAAGAGACATTCTAGGATACTCTTATGTTCGTCATGTGTCTTGCTCCTCCTCCTCCTCCTCCTCCTCCTCCTTCTCTTCCTTTTCCTCCTTCTCATCATCATCTTTGTCCACCTACTATAATACTCTTCCTTCCCCTCCTCCTCATCGGCCTCCTGCTCCTGCTCCTGCTCCTGCTCCTTATGTTCCTCCTCCTCCTCCGCCGCCTCATCATCATCCGTTGTTCTGTTCTCCCCCCCCAGCATCATCCTCTCCCTCTGGCCCATTTGCATATCCTGTGGTTCGCCCCCCCCCCCCCCCTTCCTCCTGCTCCTCATCATCACCCTCGCCCACCTATTATAATACTCTTCCTTCCCTTCGTCTTTATCAGCCTCCTGCTCCTGCTCCTGCTCCTGCTCCTGCTCCTGCTCCTCCTCCTCCTCCTCCTCCGCCGCCGCCTCCCCCCCATTCCTCCGCCGCCTCCTCCTCCGACATCCGCCCCCCTCATGACAATTTGTTGATCCTGTTGTTCGCCTCCTCCTTATTTCTCTTCTCTGGTTACGCCGGCGGCATAAGCTGTCGTTGCCAAGACGTAGGAGACCCCGAAGAATTCCCCAAGACGCCTCAAAGTGCCCCCAAGGAGATTCCAACCGCCTCCAATAGGCGTCACAAGGCATCGAAACTGCCTCCCGCAGGCCCCAAAGCGGCCAACCACGAACACCCAACCAACATCCATGACGCCTCCGACATGCCGCCCGGCCAAACTGGCCAGACACGCCGAAAGCTACAAGATAGCCCCATGAAGGCCCCAAAGCCCCCCCAAAACAACATCAAAAAGGTCAGAACAAACCACGACCATTCAGTTTTCGCCTCAAGTTCGATATGTTTTCATTTCGTACAAACTAAACACCCAGAGTTCCACTACGCCCGCCCTGCCACGCACCTGCCTCACTTCGCCGCTTCCTCTAGCGCGGTGGCGGATATTTGCGGCAACGCAATTGGATATTTCAAATCGCGACCCGACCGTCGAGATTTGGCAAAGATGCCACAGGCGAGACCCAAGGAGACCCAAGGAAGCTCGCGTTGGGGAAGAGTTGCGTAAGAGCTTGAAACAAGCATCGCAACATAATGTAATACACCAGAGCTTTCCGAACGGTCATAAGCAACACAGATGGCACGCACGCACCCCGAACGTTCACAAGCGTACGCATTCTTCGCGTATTCATGATGATCCTCCTCGCGCACCAACAGACTCAAAATCCTATAGCACGACGACAAGGAAACATGAATGAAGAAAAGAAAGAAAGACGAGGAGAAGAGTTAGGAGAAAAATGAATAACAGGAGGAAAAAGAAATGCCGAGAATAAGGAAGAGGGGGAAGAGCCAAATGATAACGATGATGATCAGGAGGATGAGGACGATGACGAAAAACAGAAAGAGGAGGAACAGGCTGACAAGGGAAGGGAAGAAGAGGAGAGGAAAACACGGAGGAACAGTTCGCCTTCTGAGGCCATCCTACAGGCCATCCTACAGGGCATCGTAGTCGCCTCAACCACTCTCCCCAAACACCTGTCCCCCTCTTGCCCCCAAGGTGACCGACGAATACAAATCATCGATGCTTATTCACAGAACGGCTGTTTTAGGATGGGTTGGTGGGGGAAAAAAACGCAGGCGGAAACGCCAGCGGCGGGCGGTCGCGGGCGGGCTGCGGCCGCGACTAAATTCCCGAGCGCGCGCGGGGGCCGCGGATCAGGCGGCGGGGGGGGCAGCGCCCAGGGCGTCAGAAGCTGGTGGGGATTCGCGAAGCGTCAACAATTTAGCCCTCCCTCCCTCTCTCCCTCCCCTGCTTCTCCTCCTCCTCCTCCCCCTCCTCCATGCGCGGCAGGGGCGAAACGATTGGCGGTACAACACGCGTGGCTGGAGTGAGACGTGGCGCACTTCGCGCGCTGGACATGTTGCCGCCGACGATGCAACATGACGGGCCGGAGCGGGGCGCGGGGTACACCGCCGCTCGTTTCTCGGCGACGTTGCTCAAAACGCGGCAGGAATAGGACGCAGCTCATGTCGCGCGGTGAACGTCTAGCCGCAGAGAATACAAGATGAGCGACAGGCGTCGGACGCAACGCACTTGCTTCTTATTTTGTGGGAGGGCGGATGGGAGTGGACGGAGCCCTCTGACTCGTTCGAGCTGTCTAACTTGATACACACACACACCCTCACCCACTCGACCAGCTGACAGTGCGCCCCCCCATCAAAGCCCCCAACAAAATAAAGAGTGCACGTGGCGGCAGACTCTGAATCGCGAACTGGCACCCCGCGAGAATTATACATTTGTCCTGCCAGGAAGGCGGCAGTGGTCGAATTGCCCGCTGTGCTCTGGCCCACATCCCTACACCTACAAGGACAAACTGACTGTGGGTGCAGACACCATGCAGCATGCTGATCACTCCGACGTCACGTTGCCACGGCTTGTGTGTTGACAGCCATGTTGAAGTGTCGGCCGACTGCCCGATGTGTGCTGCGTGCGATGGAGCACCTGGCGCACTCTACGCGCGTCGCACACCCGACGCACCTGGCGCGGCCGGAGCATGTGGCCTGGAGCACGCGGCGCACGAGACGCACCAAGCGCGCGGGCCTGGCACGCTTGGACCCCTTGCACTGCAAACACGCGGTGCACCTCGCGATTGCCAATAGTTGTCCGTCCGATGGTGACATCTGCCTGATTCAGCTGAGTCGCGGGTGGCTCTCATTTGCTGGGAGGGCGAGCGGGAGTGAGCGAGACAGCTTGTGGCGTTGCCGCTGGCACTTTGGCTCCTCACCCCATCCCTCTTTCCCTTGGTCTACTGGGGGGGGGGAAGGGCGAGGTGTCAGAGGGTAATGGTTGCCCCCGGATGGCACCATCTATCCCATGATGGTCTCCAAGATGGCTCAAGATTTCCACCATGCGTCCAAGAGGCTCCCAAAGCCGCCGCCCCCCAAGAGGCCGACCTCCTTGAAAATTAGCCTGACGAAAGACCCAACCATATGCAGCCGCAAATATCGCATTGTTGGTATCACTGTCAGTGGAGATCATTCTGGGGCCACGAACCGTGTGAGGGGTGTGCCGACTTGGGTGCGGCGATCCCATGCGAACCCTCCCACTGGAGCCTTCGGTGGAGCTCCCTATGGGGACGCGAAGCGTGCAAGGGGTGTGCAGACTTGGACGCGGTGGTGCAATGAGAACCCTCCAACTGGAACCTCCCGTGGAACTCCCTGTGGGGCCACGAACTGTGTGAAGGGTATGCCGAATTGGGCGCGGTGGTGCCTGGCAAACCTTCCCACTGGGACCTTCGGTAGGGCTCCCTATGGGGCCACGAACCATGAAAGGGGTGTGCCGAATTGGGTGCGGTGGTGCCATGCGAGCCCTCCCGCTGGAGCCTTCGGTTGAGCTCCCTATGGGGCCTCGAAACATGTGAGGGGTGTGCCGAATTGGGCGCGGCGGTGCCATGCGAACCCTCCCATTTGAGCCTTCGGTGGAGCTCTCTATGGGGCCACGAAAAGTGTGAGCGTGGGTGCCGAATTGGGTGCGGTGGTGCCGTGCGAACCCTTCCACTGGAGCATTAAGCATAGCTCCCTATGGGGCCACGAACCGAGTGAGGGGTGTGCCGAATTGGGCACGGTGGTGCCAAGCGAGCCTTCCCACTGGAGCCTTCTGGGGACCTTCCTATGGGGCCACGAACCGTGTGAGGGGTGTGCCGACTTGGACGCAATGGTGCCAACCGAACCCTCCAACTGGAGCCTCCCGTGGAGCTCCCTATGGGGCCACGTGTGAGGGGTGTGCCGAATTGGGTGCGGTGGTGCCATGCGAACGCTCCCACTGGAGTCTTCGGTTGAACTGCCTATGGGAACGCTAAACGTGTGAGGGGTGTGCCGACTTGAACTCGGTAGTGCAATGCGAACCCTCCAACTGGAGCCTCCAATAGAACTCCCTATGGGGCCACGAACCGTGTGAGGGGTGTGCCGAAGTGGGTGCGGTGGTGCCATGCAAACCCTCCCACTGGAGCCTTGGGTGGAGCTCCATATGGGGCCACGAAACGTGTGAGCGTGTGTGCAGAAATTGGTGCGGTGGTGCCATGCAAACCCTCCCAGTGGAGCCTTCGGTGGAGCTCCCTATGGGGCCTCGAAACATGTGAGGGGTGTGCCGAATTTGGTGCGGTAATGCCATGCAAACCCTCCAACTGGAGACTGTGGTGGAGCTCCCGATTTGGCCACGAAGCGTGTGAGGATTGTGCCGACTTGATCGCGATGATGCCATGCGAAACCTCCCAATTGGAGCTTTGGGTTGAGCTCCCCATGGGGCCACGAACCGTGTGAGGGGTGTGCCGAATTTGGCGCGGTGGTGCCATGCAAACCCTCCCACTGGAGCCTTCGATGGAGGTCCCTATGGGGCCACGAAACGTGTGAGTGTGTGTGTGTGTGTGCGTGTGTGCAGAAATTGGTGCGGTGGTGCCATGCGAACCCTTCCACTGGAGCCTTCGGTGGAGCTCCCTGTGGGGCCACGAAACGTGTAAAGGGTGTGCCAACTTGGGCGCGGTGGTGCAATGCGAACCCTCCAAACTGGAGCCTCCGGTGGAACTCACTATGGGGCCACGAACCGTGTGAGGGGTGTGCCGAATTGGGCGCGGTGGTGCCATACAAACCTTCCCACTGGAGCCTCCGCTTGAGCTCCCTATGGGGCCACGAACCGTGTGAGGGGTGTGCCGAATTGGGCGCGGTGGTGCCAACCCAACCCTCCCACTGGAACGTTCGGTGGATGGGACCACGAAACGTGTGAGGCGTGTGCCGAATTGGGCGCGATGCTGCCATGCGAACCCTCCAACTGGAGACTTCGGTGGAGCTCATTATGGGGCCACGAAACGTGTGAGGGGTGAGCCGAATTGAGCGCGGTGGTGCCGTGCGAACCCTCCCATTGGAGCCTTCGATGGAGCTCCCTGGGGCCACGAAACGTGTAAAGGGTGTGCCGAAATTGTGGACATGCGGAGGGCAGAGGCACAAAGGCGGAGGAGGAGGAGAGGAGAGGAGGAAGGAAACGCGGGGCGCTGTCTCTTCAAAACGAGGGCCCAACATCACAGGCTGGTTGGGAAATATCATGTGTGCTTCCATGGCTGTTGCCGTCTCGCCTTTTCGCCCCCGATGGGCCTCTCAGGCATCCAGATTGCTCAAAGATCGCCGGCAAGATCTCTGAGAGGGACCAACAAGGGCACCAACACGGCCTCAAGAAGAGCGCACAAAACCGCCCCACGAGCGCCCCAACATGGCCCCGAGTCGCAAGGTTCCAACGAACGCACGCCCATCAAAACCGCCCCCTTGTTTCATGGATGTCCTTCAACACGATTGGCCCCAGGGCGATTGGCCCCACGGCGGGCCCAAGAGGGCCCCCGAAGGCTCCCAGCAAGAGCAAGCACAAAAACTCTTGCACCTCCAAGGGGGCCCCAGAGGTCTCTGAGCTCACAACTGTTGGACCACGGGCCTCCCAGGAGAGCGCCGCAGAACCGAATCGATGAATCGGACCGGCGATCGAAGTGAATCGGATCGGCGGACGTCGGCAACCGAGTCGGGAAAAGCTGGATCGGCAGACATCGGCAGGCCAATAGGCCTCCATTGAGAACTCGGAGCCCGCATCGGCATCCCAAAAGAGACTCGCATCGGCATCGGAGGCCATCGAAATCGAGCCGAACCGGAGGAATCGAGACGAACCCTGGTTTTTCCCGGCCACGGCATCGCCCTAGAGGTCCAGGCGAACGCCTGCGGCCATGCCGGCCGCGCCAGAGGCTCTGGGCGCGAGCAGCCCGTGCAGCTTCGCGGTCAGGGCGGTCGAGGGCGCGCGCACCTTGCGGCTCGCGGCGTGCACCAGCAGCAGCAGCGCGAGGCCCATGCCGAAGCCGACGAGGACGTTCCAGCGCTGTTCGTCCAGCTCCTCTCGCGAGCGTCAGTTCGGGCACGTCCTCCTACAGGCGCCTTCTGGCCGACAAATAAGACATCGTCGGAAAGGATCCAAACATTCTCTCAAAACACGAAGAATCATCACCATATTATGTTTCGACTCCTCTTGAGCATTCCTCCTGTGGAGGGACATGCCCAATCTCACGCGAGCGACGACCGAATCCGTACCCACGCCCTCGCGGTCTGGGCTCTCGGGAGCGCCATCCCGTGGACGCGCGGCCGCCTGGATCCGCCCCCTGTGCGCGGGGCAGCCGCGACAAGACCGCCCCACGTCCACGGGGCCCCCCTCCCCCACGGGGGCCCCGCCCGCGAGGCCGTGAGCACGCCTGCGGTCTCTGCTCGCGGTCCTCCTCGCTCGGCACCTCCGCGCCGGCGACGCCGCGGAGCGCGGTGCGGCAGAGCGGGCAGCGCGGCACCGCTGGCCCGTGGGAGTCCACCATGCTGAGACACCGCAGGTGGAAGCGACTTCTGGCTGACCCAGGAAAGGGGGGCCCAGCTGAAAGGGGGTGGTGCAGCAGGTTTGGGGCGATCGTGTTGCAAACGCACTGCGCCAGAGAACTGTACTGCATGGGATTGCAACCAACGTGTTGCAGGCGGGAACCCAGCTGTACATTTTGCGCACCGGAACGCACTGCACGCCCCCAAATCTACTGCAACCCCCACCAATCTATTGCACCAGATTGTTGCACCAGCCCCTTGCCACTGGACCCCCTCTTGGGTCAACCAGAGCGATGGCCGCACTCCGTGGTGGCGACGCGGCCCCCCCACCAGGACGGCGGCACCCTGGAGCAGAGCGACGCGTGCACGACACAGAAGCGTGGGAGGGGCAGATGCTCCGGGAAGGGCTCAGGAGGAGCGGGAGGGGCAGGAGGACGAGGAGGAGCGAGGAAGACGGAGGGAAGAGCAGTCCAGAGAGAGGGCAGCGGCGGAGGCAGAGAAATAGGAACAGCCGCAGGGAATGCAGGAGGGGAGGAGGCAAGAATAGGTTGGGAAACAAACTGCGACCCTGATACCGATACCGCGAAGCACTCCCCGGCCATCCTCTGGGGTGCGTTCTGACCTAGATCTCAAGGAGAAACCGAGAATTCCAGCCGTGGCGACGAGGGCTCTCCAAGACGAGCAGCGGTGCCTGGCTCCTCCTCTCGCCATCGCTCGGACGTTCACTCCCCGCACATGTTTCGGCGTCGTGCGTGCATTGTTCGCTTGGACGTCGCTTCCCTGTGCAAGTGTCGGCCCAGTGCGTTTTTTGTTCGAGCATGTTCCAAAATGCTCCTCAGTGGCCCTCCCCGGGGGAAAAAATGGACACGTCCGAGCGATGCCGAGGACGACGGCTCTCCAGGACGAGCAACGGCATCGGTTCCCGGCTCCTCCTCCAGAAGAAGAAACAACGGCTTAAACATAAACTTCCGACGGTCCGCACGGACTTCTTAGCTTCGCGCTGGACCCCCCTGCATAGCGCGCGGAGCGCGCCGGGGGCGGCGCTGGAGGCGCCGCCGCGGGGGCCCAGCGCGGATGCAAGAAATCCGCGCGGAGCGTCCAAAGTTTGCGTTTATGTCGTTCTCTTCTTCAATTACGTCAGGCATGTCCTCCTACAGCCGGATGTTGGAAAAAAACTCATATTCTCACTGAAATCCCTTCGGAGAAATGAATCCTTTTTCGAGTTGAAACAGGCAGTAATAAACAAAACACAGAATCAAAACTAGTCGAAGAACCGCCCCCAGGCAATTCTTGACTATTCTTGAATATTCCTTATGTGCAGGGAGGTGCCCGACTCAATTCCAATTGTTTGTTCTTCTTCGATCCTCTGTTGGAGGCCTGGAGATGGGCACCAACACCAATACAGGGGGGTACCTCCACAGGGGTAAGATGATCCTAGAGTTCGGTATCTTCTTCCCTCGGTGGAGGTACACCGCCGAAATTGGTGTTGGTGTCAACCTCTAGGCCTGGGACTCTGGGGAGGACGGCGCCGAGCGCTTTCCGTTGAGCAGGGACCGACAGTCCCGGCATTTCTATAATTAGGCCGACCACGACATGTTCTTATATAGAACCCAAAGATGTTCTTAAGACCATAAACAATGTTCTGAGAACATAAACCCGATGTGTAAAATCATACCAGTCCCAGCCAATAATGTTCTAATAACATGTCGCGCAGACAACACAAAATTCTCAGAACATCGTTAGGCAGGCCTATAGGCACGCCGGGACGCTTCGCCACTGCTTGACGGGGACGTGCCCGACTTAACTCTGGCAATGTGTTCTTCTTCGATCCTGTGTCGGGCGTTGGCAGAACTGGGTGTCGGAGTGTTTTCCGGCCTTCGATGCTCTGGTGAGCGAGCGCCGCGCCGAGCGATTTCTGCCCCCCCTCCCGGGGCCTCGTGGCAGAAAGGCCTTGGGAGTCCCGAAACGGTGCGGTGACGGACCGTGCGGTGACCTCGAAATCCCCCAAGACCTCACCGCACGGTCCGTCGCCGCACGGTTCTGGGACCTCGGAGGCCCCTGTCGCCCGAGACGTCCTCGGAGGACGACCCGAGTCCCAAAACCGTGCGGTGACCCCGAATCCCCATCGACTCACCGCACGGTGTGGTCACCGCACCGTTTGGGGGCCCCCGAAGGCCGCACGAGGCCCCTGGCGTCCGGCGGGCAGCGGCGAGCCCCGGGGCCAGCCGCCGCCGCAGCGCGGCGGCCGCGCCGGCGGCCGACGCCGGCCCGAGCGGGCTGCAGAGGCTGGACCTCGTCATCATCGTCATCCTCCTCATCATCAGTATCATCCTCATCCTCAGTATCAGTATCAGTATCAGTATAAGTATCAGTATCAGTATCAGTATCAGTATCATCATCCTCGTCCTCATCCTCCTCCTCCTCCTCCTCCTCCTCCTCCTCCTCATCATCATCATCATCATCATCATCATCATCACCACCACCACCACCACCACCACCATCACCATCACCATCACCATCATCATCATCATCATCATCATCATCATCATCATCATCCTCATCCTCATCCTCATCCTCATCCTCATCCTCATCCTCATCCATCCTCATCCTCATCCTCATCCTCATCCTCATCCTCATCCTCATCCTCATCCTCATCATCATCATCATCATCATCATCATCATCACCACCACCACCACCACGACCATCATTCTCATCATCCTCATCATCATCGTCATCACCACCACGACCATCATCCTCATCATCCTCATCATCATCATCACCATCAACAACATCAACATTAGACCTCGGTGGGGAGCACAAGGTGGGCTCAGAAGCCTCCTCCTTGTAGATTCAAGCATGTTTACTTGCACGGCGGTCGCCCCCCCACTCTCCTCGCCACTCTCTTCCAACGGATACTAGCAACGAATACTAGCGTGCGAGTGCCTCTCGACTTGCGTGATCTCCGCACGTGCAAGTCGTTAGCGGCTTGCTTCAGGTTCAGCCCCCCCCTCCATGCAAGTAAACTTGCTGGGGTCTAGAAAAAACAGGCACCCTCGATGGGGAGCACACCGTGGGCTCAGGCTTGGCGGCGAGCGCGGGGGGGAAGTCTCACCAGGCTCGAGTTTCGAGGCTTTCGGACGGTTTCGTAGGCTCTCAGCGGCTTTCAAGCCTCGGGATGCTTTCCAACGGCTGCGCCTCGCCGAGCTATGACCCGAAAAGCACCAGGCATCCGAGCAGGGGCGGCCCTTCTCAAAAGGCTCGGAAATCCCACGGCCTTCTGAGAAGTCGTCGAAGCCTTCCCCGAAGACACGGAACAAAACTTCTCAGAAGGCCGGAGGGCTTCTAAGAAGCCCCGCCGCCTTCTGAGAGGGTTTTCTCCTGGCCCTGGGACACTCAAATAAATACACAGAAATCCATGGATTCCCCATATTTCCCCATAGTTTCTGGGTTGTCGCTTCCCCCCCCCACTTCCCTTATGTTCCAAGATTTTCTGGGGAATCGACGATTATTTGTGTCTGTGTGTTTTTTTCCCTCCTTAACATCGGGCGCCTCACTTCGCGCTTCGCGCTGAGCGAAGAGCTTCGCGCTCCCGCGCCGCCACCCAAGGGAGAAGAGGAGGATGAAGGAGGGATCGGAGCTGAATCGCGCGGCGCGAATGACTTCGCGCCCTCGAGAGCGCCCTTGGAACAAGAGCGGGGCTTAGGCGAGAAGACGTACAACCACACGCCGCGGCTGGCGCGGGCAGCCAGCGTGGGGAACACACGGGCCGCAGAGAGTGGACCTCGGTGGGGAGCACGCGGTGGGTTCAGGTGGGCCGCGCAAGGACGTACTAGCATCATGAGTCCTCCTTGGAGGCGTGCGTCCGACCCGGACATAGAGATGTGGCCTTCTTGCAGTACATCGCTTCCTGAGCGGTATGGCCACTAAGCGCCCGCCACGAAGCTGATCTTTGAGGGATGAAAAAAAAAACGACCCTACCCTGGGTTACAAGTGCGTGGTCTGTAAACCTCCTGGAACCCCCAAAGCCTAGAGCCGCCAGGACGCGGCACATCACGCAGGGTTTACCCTGTCAGCCCACAAGAGTTTCAGCGCACAGCGCCTCGTAAACCAGGGTAGGGGCGATGTTTTATGCCCTTGAGATCTGACGAGATGTCTCGGCACGCGCGCCGCCCACGGGCGGGCGACGATCAGGTGGACGCCCGAAATGGGTACGGGAAGAATTGGCACAATGCCCAGCAACAAATGTTGCCCCAAACCGACCGCGGCCGCTGTTGGGCAGGCGGCCTTCTGTCTCAAATGTACACAGGCCGCGGCGACACCGACAGCGATTCCTGTTCAGAACGAGCAAGAACTGCTGTTGGGAATGTACCGATTCTTTCCGTACCCATTTCGGGCGTCCAGGTGGGCGACGACAAGGAGCGGGCCTTACGCGAGAAGACGCAGCGACTATGCTCCGTGCCTTGCGCGGGCCGCCAGCGTGGGGAGCACGCAGGCTGCAGGGACTGGACCCTCCGTGGGGAGCCACACGACGGGGGCTCAGGGTGGGGCGACGAGACGAGGCGGGTCCTGCGCGAAGAGACGCAGCGACCACACGCCCCGGCTGGTGCGGGCAGCCGGCGTGGCACACCGCGTGGAGCAGTAAAAGGGCGACTGTGAAACGGGGCGAGTCGCACGCGGAAAGACGCAGCGACCCCACGCCGCGGCTGGCGCGGGCCGCAAGCGTGGCACACCGCGCGGAGGAAAGCGGGCGATTGTAATCCAGCCTGGGCAAGAAGAGCATCCTTCAAGAGCATGAGACCCTGCGCCGGCCAAAGCAGACAGAACATGAGGGGTACGCTCCCCGGGATGCACAAGAACACGCAGCAAGCACCAGGAGCACCAGGGGTGCCCCCTCGCAACGACCTCGATCTCATGCCTCGGTCCGACTGCACGCGGGAAACGTACGCGGAAAGCTCATGCGCGGATGCCCGCGCAGTCGGCCCCGTGTTCTTCCGTCGCCCAGGGGGGGTCGGGAGCGGCGACGCTCCAGGAAGGCCGGGGAGGGCGGCGCGCACAACTCGACATCGCTCGGACGCCCCTTTCTCGTACATGTTTCGGTTCGTGCGTGTAGTTTTCGCAGGGTGATCCTAGATGCTCGTCGACGGTCCTCGCCGAGAAAAAAACGCACACGTCCGAGCGATGCCCAGACAAGGGGATCCTGAGGGGGGGGGGGAAGGCATTTCAGAAGGAGGCTGCTTCTTCGAAGGCGCTGGCCCTGCATCTGCGGAGAAGGCCCCCTGCTTAGCTCTGAGGAAGCAGGGGTGCTTCTCAGAAGCCTCCCACCCTCCCCAACACCCTCCCTCTGCGTGTGGCCGAGGTGGGCTCCTCGGACTAAAAGAAAAGAAAACGCCATGAACATAAACATTTGGCGCTCCGCGCGGATTCCTTGGATCTGAGCTGGACCCCCTCTCTGGCGCGCGGAGCGCGCCAAGGTGCGGCGCCCGAGGCGCCGCCAGGGGGGGGGGGAGCGCGGATCCAAGAAATCCGCGCGGAACGCCCACAACAATTTACGTGTATGCCATTGCTTCTTCTTTGACACACGGGGCTGGCCCTTCCGGGAGCAGCCCCCCCCTCCGCAGAATCCACGAGCCGATGCGGCCTCTTCCGAAAGGGCGCCTCCGAGGATGCTGCCGCCCGTTGTTTCTGCCGGCCGGGGGGCCAACAGATGGCGCACGAGCCGTGCTCCGGGCACTCGCCGTCCTCGTCGGAGCCCTGCGAGGGGGGTCCCTGCCCCTTCTCCTCGCTTTCGTCCTGCCCATCCCCCGTGCGCGTCCTCGTCGCCCTCCCTTCGCCTCTTCTCGAGGCCTCCTGGATGGGGTCCGCGTAATAAAATGGGCTCGAAGGATCACGCCGCATCGCCAATGCATCGGCGATGCATCGGCGATGTATCGGCGATGTATCGGCGACGTCAGCGTTGGGAAGCAGTGTCCAAATCGAGACCAATCGTCGATGCATCGGCGATGCGGCGCGATCCTTCGACCCCATCTGCTCGGACCCCATCTAGGAGGCCTATATATGATCCAGGGTCGAGGGTTCTCGCGCCCCCCCCCCAGATGGTATGGTCCCAGGATTCCTCGCCCCCCCCCCCCCAGATGGTATGGTCCCAGAGACGACGACGACGACGACGGCGACGACGACGACGGCGACGACTACGACGACGGCGACGACGACGACGACGACGACCACGACGACGACGACGACGGCTGCGGCGGCGACGACGCCGGCGGCGGCGGCGGCGACGACGACGATGACGACGGCGACAACGGCGACAACGACGATGATGACGACGACGACGATGACGACGACGACGACGAGGACGACGAGGACGACGAGGACGACGAAGACGACGACGACGACGACGACGACGACGATGACGACGACGACGACCTCTGAACAACCACAGCACCACACCACATCCACAGGGGGGGGAGGGGGGCACCGCAGCGCAGCACCACGCCACGCCCACTTCTGAACCACCACAGCACCACACCACATCCACAGGGGGGGGGGGGCACCGCAGCGCAGCACCACGCCACGCCCACAGGGGGGGGCGGGGGGGACCATCGCGCAGGGGGGGGGGGGGGGCCCAATGGCATCAGCATTGGGGGGGGGGCCCAAGCCCTGGACCATATATTCTCCGCTCCCTCCTGCTGAACATCCTGCTCCCTTTGTCCTCGGACACCGATCGAAACTTACATGCTGGCTGTCGCCAAGTCTCACTGGAATGGAACTGATCAGACCACCGCGCGGTGCTTGTCCAGATTCTTCATGGGTGTAGCCAAATTCCGTTTACGATGGGCCCGGTAAACTTGGAAACTGTATAACCGAAACCCGGGCAGTCGATTCTCTATGATCGTATGGTGAACTACCTGGCATGTTGTTAGCATCTGTGCAGAACCATTGACTCGCCGTCGCACCTGGAGCAATGGGTGTGTCAGGACATCGTATGGTCTCTGATGCCGCTGCTGGGGAAATGACGATTACTGCCGTCCAGTGCACGGAGTTCAGCACGGGTTTGTTGATGATCTCAGATTTCCTGCGTGCTTTGCATGCTGAGCAGAAGAGGGTGCCCACAGCAAAGGCCTGGGAAGTTCGGGTTAGGACCTCCCCCCGGGGCGCCCTTCGGCCCTCACCCCAGGTCTCCCTTCGCCTCCCGCCCAAACGCCCGGCCGCCAAACAATGGAACGAAGATGACATCACCCTGGCGACAGAGGGAATGGGGTCAAATCGGTGCCTGGGCATCGCTCGGACGTCCATTTCCTGTGTTTTTTTCGGTTTCGTGCGTGGCTGGTTCGCCAAATCATCAAGGATGCTCCTCGATGGTCCTCGCCGAAAGAAAAATGCACACGTCCGAGCGATGCCAACGTGCAGGAAGGGCAGGAGGCCAGAGGTATAGCAAGATGGGGGAGACGAGGCGCACGGCGAGGCTGAGAATGCCGGGGAGTACAGTGGCAGCCAGTCCCCAGGAAGCCTCACACAAGAAACCCAGACCCTGAGACCCCAGAACGCCCATGCGATTTGTGTTGGAACGCCGCGCCTTCCGCAGCAAGACCATCGAAACCAAGAAACTCAGGGCACCCTGGAGGCAAGTAGGGTGCCTCTTTAGACGAAGAAGAAGAAAACGAAGAAGAAGAAGAAACAGAAGAAGAAGAAGAATCAGAAGAAGAGACGCGATTATACCGGAGAAAAGCCCCAAACATAATCCTTTAGGGCTATAGGGCCATAAGGCTATTGGGCTCTAGGGCCTATAGGGCCTATAGGGCCTATAGGGCTATAGGCTATGGGGCTAGATGGCTATAGGGCTACAGGACTATCGGGTAATTGGGCTATGGGGCTATAGGGCTATATCGAGCTATAGGGCTATAGGGCTACAGGGCTATAGGGAGATGGGGCTATAGGGCGATATGACTATAGGGCTATAGGGCTACATAGGGCTACTGGGCTATGGGGCTACATAGCTATAGGGCTATAAGGCTATAGGGGTATGAAGCTATGGGGCTGTATGGCTAAAGGGCTATAGGGAGGTATGGCTATAGGGATAAGGCTATAGGGCTATAGGGCTATAGGGCCAGAAGGCTATAAGGCTATAACCCTACAGGGCTATAGGACTATACGGCTATAGGGCTGTAGGGCTATAGGGCTATAAGGCTCTGGGTCTATGGGGCTATAGGGCTGTAGGGCACCCAAACACCGGGGCGGGCCGCCGAAATCGTCGACGCAACTCCTGGGCACCTGGGCACCCGTGCGTGCCGTCGAAATCGGCGACGCAGCTGACCTAACCATATACAGACGCAAACCCTGATTGGGGAATGAACACAAACTGTTGGCGCTCCACGTGGATGTCTTGGATCCGCGCTGGACCCCCTCCCTGGCGCGGGGAGCGCGCCAGGGGCGGCGTCTGAGGCGCCGCCCAGGGGGGCCCCAGCGCGGATCCAAGAAACCCGCGCGGAGCGCCAAAAGTTCGACTGGAGGCAAGCAGGGTGTGTCTTGGAGAAGGAGGAGGAGGAGGAGGAGGCGGAGGAGGAGGAAGAGGAGGATGAGGAGGAGGAGGAGGTCCTCCTCCTCCTCCTCCTCCCTCCTCCTCCCCACCTCCACCTCCTCCTCCTCCACCTCCTCCTCCTCCTCCTCCTCCTCCTCCTCCTCCTCCTCCTCTATCTCCATTGCAAAACCCAGAAAGCAACCGTCGGCCTCGGCGGCGTGCGCGGCCGGGTAGGCCGCGGCCCACGGGAACAGCTCCGGCCGCGGCGCGCCGCGGAGGCCCAGGGCCAGCACCAGCTCCCGCAGCACCGTCGGGCCCTGCTCCTGGGGGGGGCCAACCCCGACCTTCCGGAGAGCTATTTTTTAGCAGGGGAGGCCTGAAAACCTAAAAAACGAAACGAAGCAGCCTGAAGCCAAGACGTAGAATAGCTCTGGGATAGGCTTTTAGATCGCGTGCTACTTTCTAGCCCTCCTGGAAGGTCAGGGAAAGAGGGTACCCACAGCGCCACTCCAGAAGGGGGGCCATGGATGCATGCTTCTGCGTCGGCCACTGGGCAGAGGTTCCTGCTCCGGCGAACGGGCATCAGTGGGGCCCGCTGGATGCAGAGTGGGCCGCAGTGCACGGGGGGAGAGGAGGATACCCCCGGCGCATGCGAGAAGACAGGAAGCCCAGGGATACACACACACAAACAGGCACAAATCCCAAGATTCCCTTTGTTTTCACTGAGTCTCCTGGTTTTCGTCTTCCCCCCCCCCAGCTCGACTCGAGGGGGGAACCAAACTAGAGGCCTCCTAGATTTGGGTCGGACATGGCCTCCTACAGGCAGATTTTGAAGACACATTATAGACATAGCCAGTAACTATACAAATTCGGAAAATCGCCTCCAGGCGATTAAATAATCCAATATCCTGTAGAGGGACATGCTGGGCTTAATCCTTGATGGGGTCCGAGTGGATGGGGCGGAAGGATCCCGCCGCATCGCAGATGCGTCGGCGATGTATCGGATCAGCGACGCTGTCGTGGGGAGGCACGGTCTCCACATCGAGGCGCCTCGCCGACGCACTAGCGATGCGGCTGGATTCCCCGACCCCAGCTGCTCGGACCCCGTCTGGGAGGCCTCGAGCAAACAGGCGCCCGCATCGCTACTCCCCAGACCTCTCCCGGGCGTGCGCTCGGACCAGAACCTCGCGGAGAATTCAGCCGTGGTGGCGAGGACGCTCCAGGACGACCAGCGGTGTCGGTGCTCGGGCGGGTGGTAATTAATGGAGGGGGGGCCCCAATGGGGGGCGAAGGAAAAGGCCCTGAAGGGGCCCATCGGGGTCCCTCTTGGGCACCAACTGGCTCGAAAAAGGGCCCTGGAAGGGCTCCGTGTAGGGCCCTTCTCCTTACACAGGAGTTAAAACATTGGATTTTAATACATGATCAGTTTATGAATAATTGTATGCATGAGCTCGCCGTTGCTTTTAATACTGAATCCCTGCATTCTTAATGCATGATCCGCACGCGGAGCATGTATTCAAAACGGCACTGTACCCCCCTCTGGGCCACCCCCCAGGACCACCCGCCCGAGGTGCCTTGTCCTCCTCCGGAGCTCCGCCACCAGGAAACAGCTCGCCACGCGCCAGTCCGCGGGCATCCCGTGGCACGCCACGTACCTGGGAGAATGAAAAGTTACCAATATCGGCGGTGGACAAACTTCCCTTTAGTAGACCTCCCCTTAGTGAAAACGGCCTGGGACCGAAACCGACGGACCTGGACCCGCAAAAATAACGGCCGCGACGCCCTCTCGCGAACCGAAAACGGCCAATTCCTTAATCGACGAGTCAGGGTAGGAGGTCTGTCCACCCCCGACAATACCACTACTCCCTGGACCTCTCTCTAGGGGTGCGCTCTGACCAGATTTCCGAGGCGAATCCAGCAGTGGCAACGAGGGCCTCGCAGGATGTCCAACGAGGGGGACAACGGGCGATGGGTAACTGTATAGGCACACGCTTGTCGATAGAGGTGGGTAGAAACATGATGTAGGAAGGCGTCGGAAGCAGATTGGGCAACCCGCCCGCCCCCTACTGAATCCCTGCATTGGGATCATGGGGCTGAGTCCTCCTCCGGAGCTTCGCCACGCGCCAATCCCGTGGCACGCCACGTACCAAGTTACCAATATCGGCGGTGGACAAACTTCCCTTTAGTAGACCTCCCCTTAGTGAAAACGGCCTGGGACCGAAACCGACGGACCTGGACCCGCAAAAATAACGGCCGCGACGCCCTCTCGCGAACCGAAAACGGCCAATTCCTTAATCGACGAGTCAGGGTAGGAGGTCTGTCCACCCCCGACAATACCACTACTCCCTGGACCTCTCTCTAGGGGTGCGCTCTGACCAGATTTCCGAGGCGAATCCAGCAGTGGCAACGAGGGCCTCGCAGGATGTCCAACGAGGGGGACAACGGGCGATGGGTAACTGTATAGGCACACGCTTGTCGATAGAGGTGGGTAGAAACATGATGTAGGAAGGCGTCGGAAGCAGATTGGGCAACCCGCCCGCCCCCTGGAGAGGAGGGAAGAAGGGAACCAGCCAGTCCTTGAAGTAGGAAGGCGCCAAAAGCAGATTGGGATCTGGGGCTCCAAGAGACCCACTTCCAAAGACCGATGGGTGCGGGCATTTTGTCCTCCTCTGAGTACAGCGCCGGCAGGCTGCAGCGCGCGGCGCATTTCAGCAGCAGCGCCGCCAAGCCCGCGGCGCCCGGCCGCCGCTGCGGCGGGCCCCCGCCCGAGGAAGCCAGGAGGCCCGCGGAGGGGAGCCGCGAGGCCCCCCCCGCGCCGGCCAGGGCGTACACGGCCGCCTGCTGCACGGTGAAGATCGGCGGCGAGCACGGTGGGGAGGGGAGGAGGAGGAGAAGGAGGAGGAGGAGGAGGAGGAGGAGGAGGAGGGAGGAGGAGGAGGAGGAGGAGGAGGAGGGAGGAGGAGGAGGAGGAGGGGAGGAGGAGGGAGGAGGAGGAGAGGGGGGGAGGAAGGAGGAGGAGGAGGAGGAGGAGGAGGGAAAAGGAGGAGGAGAAGAGGAGGAGGATGGAGGGGGATGGGGAGGGGGAGGATGAGGAGGAGGAGGAAAAGGAGGAGAGGATTTCCAGGATTTCCGCTATCACAAGAGTGACTTAAAGGCTGAGCTCAGGCTTTTGGGAAACTCACCGCGAGAAACTAGATCCAGATATTCGCGGGACGTCTTCGATATGGGTAAAACCATGGCTTTGTTGGACCTCTGAGCTGGTCTTGACCGAAATCGCCACATGTGCGATAGAACCATAATCGAAGCGCTTCGTGGAAATATAAAGCATGTGAGGGGTGGACCCAACCTCCAGCGATTTGTAAACGTCGTCCTCGAGGGAACCGAAGCACATGACCGTCGACATCCTATAAAGGCACACTATCACTTTTCAACCAGACCCGCAACTCTGCTTTCGAACTCGAGCATATGGAGGGGGAGGAGGAGGAGGAGGCGGAGGAGGAGGAGGAGGGGGAGATGAGGACGAGGAGATGAGGAGGAGGAGATGAGGAGGAGGCGGAGGAGGAGGAGGAGGAAAAGGAGGGGAGAAGGAAGAGGAGGAGGAGGAGGACGAGGAGGAGGGGGAAGTTTCCTCCTAGACTCTACACCTCCGAACCTCCGGCGGATCGGGCTCGCCTGGGCCTGCTGGCCCTGAGCCCTCAGGCCGCCACATCCTACTCCTTTCTCTTCCTCCTCCTCCTCCTCCTCAAGGCAGGCGCTCCTTTTTCATCGGCATGAAGGCGCCCGCGATCTGATTCGCGGGCACGAGCTCTGCGGCTGGCGACCCTCGCCGCCGCTGGACCCCCCGCGAGAAGCCTCGCGGGGAGCAAGACCGCGCCGACCGCGATGCGGCAAGCGCGTGCGAGCCCCCTGGTGGGGCCCGCCGAGCAAACTCGGCTGGGGCCCCACCCCTCTGGCGTGGGCGGGCGGGACCCCAAAAACATTGGCGGCTCCGCAGGAGCCTTGAGCAAGCAGCGGCGGAGGAGGACAACGGGAGAGGAGGCTACGAGACGGGAGGAAACCCACTGTTCTCACGAACGATCACGTTTCCTCCTAGACTCTACGCCTACGAACCTCCTGCGGATCGGGCTCGCCTGGGCCTGCTGGCCCTGAGCCCTCAGGCCGCCACATCCTACTCCTTTCTCTTCCTCCTCCTCCTCAAGGCAGGCGCTCCTTTTTCATCGGCATGAAGGCGCCCGCGATCTGATCCGCGGGCACGAGCTCTGCGGCTGGCGACCCTCGCCGCCGCTGGACCCCCCTCGTGCTCTCCTAGCGGCGCAGCGCCGCCCCCTCTGGTGCGTCCTGCACCAAGTCTTCTCTTAGCGCGCCGCGGGGCCCACCTCGAAGGCCCCCGCGCGCACTGGCGGGGGGGCCTGGCCCCGCGTAGCCCAGCACTCCTAGCTATGCTTAGCGCCGCATTGCCAGCCTCGAAGCTCCCCTGCGCCCTCAGCACTGGCCTGATCGGCCCTGCTGCCCACGCGCTCTGAGCCTCCGGCCAACGCGACTGCACAACTCCTCAAACCATCGTGATGTCGGTGGCCGCCATGCTGCTGGCAACCCCCTCTGCCATGCCGCGCGCCCCCCACAGGTGGCAAGGCGCGGACTTACGGTCAAAGCGCTGGCAAGCAACCATCCGCTACAGAAGCGCTCAACACATCATGTAACTTTTACAGAAAAATACAACGCACTGCCGAGCCGCATAGTTCGGCAGTGTGTTCGTTGTTTTTTCTATGTATTATTTCATTCACGTTTTCATCGAATAGCGCTCGCGCCGACGCAATGCCAATCGCAAGTGGTGACGCGCACGCATCGCGCGCCCACGCCCGAACGACCGAACGAGTCGTCAATTTGCGATTGCGCGGCGAAGCGAACGAACCCGTAACGCCAAGATCAGCGCATCGAACATCCGAACGCCTTTTGACGCAGGCCCGCGCTCGCGAGATCGCGCTCTAATGGGACGCGCAGCGCGGCCGCGTTGTCAACGTGAGCACCCTCAAGCGCGCCGCGCAGGACAGCATTCACTTTCAGCACTCGCGATCGAGTCTGGCGCCGCCGCCTCGGCACGCGCGTCGTTTGCTGGGCGCGCCCCGCGCTCGCGCCCAAAGTCCGCCAATGCGCCCGCGGCGCGTGAACGACGGCCATACGTTGCGACACGACCACAGCATCTGGCCGCTCGTTCCGCGCGACGGGCGCGTCGCTGGACCATGAGTGCACGCGGGCGGTTCGTCCAGCAAACGGCTCGGATGCCGGAGTGGCAAAGCCGAACTCGATCGCGACAGCCGTCAGTGACGGCTGCGCGCCCCCCTCCCGCGCGACCGCCCTCCCCCGCCATCCCCGCGCCTCCCGCGCACGTCCTACGGGCGATCGCCCCGCCCCCCCGCCCAAGTATCACGCCTCCATCCTCGTTCGTTCTTCCGACCTTTTACCCCGTGCCCCTCTGTGCCCCTCGCCCCCTGCCTCCCCAGATCCCAACGTAGTTGCCTTACATCGCGCCCGCCCTCCCGCCCCACCCCTTGCTCGCGAGGGCGCGGGCACCGAAGGCGCCCCTGAAAGGCCGCGCGGACCCGACAACCCGCCAGATGGATGTCGAATGGCATGGCGCACCAGAATGCCATTCGACATGCAATCAAGCCTTGCAGAGCGAAGCCCCATATATACTTAACACCAGGCGTGCTGAGAGCGAAGCTCTGGGAATAGTAAACATCAGGGTGCAGAGAGCGAAGCTCCAGATATTATAAACATCAGGGCGCATAGAGCGAAGCTCCTCATATGCAACAACACATTGGCATGGTGCCGTGCGTTGACCCAGAGCGCGCAGCCATGGGCCTTGTTAGGTTCGACGCTCCATCTCTCCGGCTAGGTTGCAAACAGTTTCCCGAATGCCGTGGCACGCTCATCCCACATCGCACGACCCTTCTTCGTGTCGAAGTGGGCCCTGTTCAAAGCGACGATCGCTCCCTGCTCATTGCTCTGGGCGGTGCCCCAAAGCAACGGGGAGTAGGCTGGCACCACCGTGGCCATGCCGACCGTGTCCTGACCTGGAGCTGGCACCGTCGCGGAAGCCTTCGCCCTCGCCTTCGGTGGCCCCTTCGCCCTCGACTCGTCTGGTGCAACCGTGTCGCGGAGCCCCGCGGGCACCGTCAAGGACCACCACCATGCCGTGGGAACGTGCAAGCTGTCCCCTGGGTTGACGATCACCAACGTTGACTGCTTGATGATGTCTGCTCCCGTCGCTGTCGCGAGGAACTGCTCGTAGTTGTTCACGGCGATGCCCTGGCCCAAGAAGTCCTTCATGCGCACGGCGTGGACCAAGAGCGGCTTGTCCATGGCGGCAATGATCGATGGCGTGCCTGGCATGGGCACGCCCTGAGGACCAATGCGATAGACGCCAGCTCTCGCACACACGAGCCAGCACTCCGAGCCCTTCTCCTTGGTGTTCTGCGCGCCCAAGGTGGCGACCGCGTCGACGTTTGCGAAGCTATATGACACCCTCCCCATCGCACCTGGCCACAGCGGGTGGTTGGCCATCTCAGCCTTCATGCTGGTGATCTTGCTGTCGATGAAGACCTTCGCGGCATCGTCCAGCAGCAACTTCGTGCCCCACCATGCAGTATGCGATTGGCAGTCTTCGTTTGGGCTCTCGCCCGTGAAGAGAGCCAGCTTGGCCACGTCGAAGGAACCGTCCTCGGGGTTGAGCTGCGCCTTCTCACACAAACAGATCACGCCATCCGTGCTGGCGCGGCTGAAGCTAGCCGTGCTGTGGATCTGCTCCGACGCCCACTTGGACAAGTTCAGGCCAAAGCCTCCTTTGCTGAGCATATGTTGGATCTTCGTCTTCTCCCAGCGGTTCTTCTGGTATCCGGACCTCTGTTCAGAGCAAGCCTTCTGGAACTTGCAATTCAGCTGATCCGTGAGAGTTTGCACCTGCCCGAAGCACGTGGACGTCTGCTTCTGGATGTTCGTTAGCGCCTCCTCGAGAGATGGAACTTCATCCACCTTGGCGGGGCCGATCTTCTCGAGCTCGCCGTTGGCCAGCGAGCTCACGCGAGAGAGGTCGCCGATCACCGTGCTGGCGTCATGAGGTAGATCTCCCACCCCAATGTTCTTCTCCACGACCTTGGTGTGCAGCGCCTGGAGCTTCTTGGTCGCGCCGACCTCCTTCTGGCTGCCGTCGATGCTTGAGACGATGTCCCGAAGCGCGGTGCTGATGTCATCCTTCGGTTTCAGGAAGCCCTGCGACGGCTGCAGCTGCGACGCCAAGCGGGCGCCGCGTGAACCGCGAGCGCGCGTGCTCACCACTGAGATAACGTCATCCTCTCCCATCTCATTGAATGCATCCGCGAGGCGCTGGACGTTCACCTCATTCAGTTTGGCGCCGCTCTTCCCGCCAGTTCGCCCCGAAGCTGGACTAGCCCCATCGCCGCCAGAAGACGCCGCCCCTGAGCTCCGAGAGGAGGTTCCAGGCGCCGACTCGATCAGACCTCGCTTCACGCCCTGGGGCTCCGCCCTCTCCAACTTCCTGGTCACCTCGGGGCCCGCAATGGCAATGCACTTCTCGCCCTTCGTGTTGACCGTCGGGTGCTCTGCGTACTCACTGTCCCACTCGGCGCTCGCCTCGTCCGAATCCATGCCCCTCAACTTCGCCTTCTTGTACTGTGCCTTGGTGTACTTCGCGGTGTCATTCAAGGTCAGCTCAGCCTTGCGCTGCAGCTCGAGCTCGTAGTCTGCAAGCTGCTTCGTCAGAGCTTCGCGCGCATGCAATCGGTTGCTACCAAAGTGAGCCCGATCGAACTGCATCGCCTCGC